GGAAAAAAAAATGACAATTGAGCAAACGATTCAATAAATGGAAAATTTTTGAAAATAATAAAAGGGCATCACACTAAATTTTTTTTCTTTAAGATGGCAACTGTTTGAATCTATGCAAAATTCGAAAGCTTATAATTCACTGTTTATTTAATTAAATACCTTGTATAAATAAAAATTAAGAGCTTTTTTGCTTTACTTAGTACAATAAAGGAAAAGTTTTTCACGAGAGATTAATAAAATACACTATTTTTAATTTCGGAGTTGCTTTGTTCAGAACTGATAATTTAAAAATCTTCAGTATGATTTAATTAAAGGGACACGGAACTTGTTATAGTAGTAGTTTAAAATCAATACCTAGAAATTCTTAGCAGTACTGTGGCATTAAATATAGTAACCGGTGTCTATTTGTTAATAATCTTTCATACCTATCTTTAATCTAGTTATGGAGTTCAAAGCTTCCTTTATTAAATAGATTTAAAAATGGGTTTCAATAATCTTGAAACGAAAATAAAGTGAATATGCCGTTAAGATTTTTGTATAAAAGTAATTTAGCGGATAATCCCTCAATTTCCCATTTAAAATCTCTATGATATGAATACTGTATTTTTGATTAGAATCGATCATTTAAAGCAATAATATTTTACATGTAAGACTAAATGTCTGAACTATGTATCTAATTCGTAGACTATCCCTAAGTACAAATTATCAAATTTTGTGTTTTTACTAACATTTCAAATTTAAAAAAAAAAAAAAGATGTTAAACCGAAAATCCAAATTCACGTTTGTATACGTAAAAGCGGTAAAGGGTAAAAAAAAAGTGTCTCTAATAACATTAACAGCTTCGAAAGAAAATTTGTTTTTTAATTAATTTGAATTCCTTAGGTTTATGAATAGAATCTTAAATTCAGTTTTTCAATTGTTAGTATTTCAATATATTTTTATTTTTTATACTTATGGTAGTTTATTCAAGAATTGTGCAAAATCAAATGCATTTTTTTTCGTTGTTAAAGAAAAAAATTATTATCAAAACATTTTAACAGGGCACAAACGTCTTTGTAAAAATAATTTTAAAAAGTCATTGCAATCAAAAAAATGGAGAAAACAAAAACGTTATAATTTTGGGAGAAATATTAGGCCTGAGAGTTATCTGCAACTTTACAAAATGGTAGTTCGAAAAGAGAAGGAGCTTACCACAAATATTAAAATCAAAAGCCCCCTACCAGAAATTTGAAAGTCGTCTTATTTAATATCAATTTTAAATTGAAAAGAGATAAAAAAACTCGTACTTCGCTCAATAAAAAGAATAGACAGTTGTTGAAGTAATATTTTTCTAGTATGACTTAATAACAGATGGAAACCAAGCTAGAAATAATGACCACAGGAAGCGAAATTAGATTTAAGAAAACTAAATCAGCTTTATATACAATGTAGTTGAGTTTTATTCTATCTGTATTTGAGCGAGTAAAGGAAAATAGTCAATATGGCGCAAGAAGTTGTGAGGACATGGCATGAATACATGCATTTGAGGAGAAGAGGATATAAAAAAAATTGCAGGAAAAGTAGCAGGTCACGGTCGTTCAAACATGGCTCTTTTATTAGACAGTGTTGAACTGAAGACGCGTGTGTGGGATTCTATTTCTACATTTTCAAGCTTTTATTTTACCCTGAAGCAACCGCCATTGCTGGGAGCGAAAACGAGTGAAGGATGAAAAAAGAGAGAATGAAGAAGGAAAAGTACAAGCTTCGGATGGAGAGAAGGAAGTTAACCAATCAGATGTCTAGATTTCTGATTTGAGCCACCCGATTGGCTGGTGGACTATTTCTGTTCGTTGTCACTCTGTTTCTCGTTGGAATTATTTTCAAAGCAATTTTATGATGCGTGCTGCCATCTATACGAAAGAATAACAACTCCGTCAGTTGAGGTCCTCAAATTTTCTTTTCAAAGCAGCTGTTGTTGGTTTGAAATTTATTATAAATTTAACAGGGGTCAAAAATCACAATATTATATTTTCTTCATTACTGTAGTATAATAATTTTATTAAAAAGGTGGTTGTTACAACTCATAATAATTTTCATAATCAGTGCTGAAATTGAAAAACAATATTTGGGGAAACTCATTATTTTCTAGGGTTCAATTTACTGATTTTTGTTAAGAAAAAAAAAAAAAAAAAAAAAAAAAAAAAAAAAAAACAATAATTTAAATTATTCGGCTAGCTTTAATTGAAAAAAAAAGCAAACCATTATTTAAAAAAAGGATAGATATAAACAATTCTGCCAATTTGCATTCTTTTTTATCTTTGGTGTATTCATCATTAAAGCTATAGATAAAATAATTGTATAATGTAATAAACTAAATAAATTTCGATTAAATATAGTGAGTACACAATTCTTCAATACCACTTGAAAAGTACTATGCACAACTTATATGTTAAACACGCTGCCTTGATAGATAGAAGGTAGAAAAAATATATATATGCAAATACAAGAAAAAAAACAAAAAACACATTCGCTTTGTCAGAGTTTAACAGTAAGAGAATTTTACATTTGTAATAACTCATGGTACTTTCCTTAAGTGTCTTTATACAGATAAAAAGTGAGTGAATTCCATGAGCCCTTTTTTTTTTTATTGCTTGAACATAATTATTTAATCGAACAGATTATAAAACAAAGTTGTAATCGGCTATTCTGACAGAAGGAAATTTTTTTTGCTTCAGTTTAAAAAAAATATATAAAAAGATAGTTAAATTTTTTTTCAATTATTTTAATTTTCAATACAACAAACCAATAATTTCGCACATTGCCGTTCCCCTACTACAGCACTGGTTCAAAATTTTTTAAAAGGTAAACATCTTTATTCTGTGACAAAACTTCGAGCATTTTTCTGGAAGAACAATTTCCGAAATTTCGATTAGAATTTATTCGTAACAATTTTTTAATTTACAAATATTTCCTCATAAGATTAACGAAACTATAAGGTACACTTGAAAGGCGATTTCCTTTCATAGGAGTCAGAGCAATGTTGATGTTGCCGAAGGCAGAAAGGTCACACTATTAAATTTATTTATTAAAATGGCTGTTCTAGTACCAAAACTAGATAAATGTGTAAATATTAATAAACAATTTATAAAATAATATATAAATTTTATGCAAATAAAATGGCATAAATTAATCGTAAGAAAGAAAATAGCAAAACCGTTATCGAAATCTGCCGATTAATTAGTGAGGAAGGTGGCAGAAAATTAAACTCCTCGAAATCCAGTATTACATGCGGGATAGAAGTTGAATTTGTTTCGAATTAACGCGTTTCAATTCCTTCTTCCAGCAATCAAATAGGATTTGATTATCCTCGTCCCGCCTTCCTCGGCAGTGAAACGTTAGATTCCACCCCCCCCTTGAATATTAATTTAGGACCCCAAATGAATGTGATTATGGAACACACTGAATAATGTACAGAACAAAAAATAAATAAAATGGCACACTTTGAATAATTTCTGATCTAATGGCATAAATTATTAGGACTTAATTAATGATCCAAGAATCTCGCCTTTAATATATTAATCTTGGAGCAGACGATAATTTAAGTTACGAAATCAGACAAAAAGACATACTTTCCCTAAAAAAAACATACCTTTTTTTGACCCCCAAAATGTAGGGGGTAACTGCAATCTGTGAAATATGGTCCCTATAGTTTGATGACCACTAAATGTTAATTTTATTTTTTGCGTATTCCGTTATAAGTTGGGAATTTTTTAAGTGAATTGAAAATTTCTGCACACAATATGATTTGTTTATCCAAATACAGTTCCACATAAAAATATTTAAAATCCGAATTTGTATAAAATTTTTAAAAACGCTTGCGTCGACTAAGAAATAGCCTATTCTGTTTTCCGTCGACTTCAAACTGCATGGCGTCTGTCAGCTACTAGTTACAGGATTTCTGCTAAGTATAGTAGTTTAATGAGACATTAGAATCACGGTTATACCCAATTTTGAACGTCACAACTTATAACTTATCAATCACCAGCTATACGGTATAATTTAAAGGGGACTCGTATTTTTCTCTTTTTAAAAAACTGCAAATAAGTTTTCACACGTTGTCAATAGCGTGATATCTAAGTTTCTGAAAAACCATTTTATTAATTGTTTTGCTAAACGCTTACACAATACTAAATTGCTGAATGTTACACAGGAGAAAGAATTTGTTAAAATTTGAAATTTTAGAGTATAATGGAAATTTTTTATTTAGGTAACAAAAACGTTATTTCCCATTTTTGTTGTTTCTATTGCCATTGCCAGCAAGCCTGTTTGGGAAACAAAGGGACTCTAAGGCAGGAGCGATTTAAGGCCAAGAATACGATCGCACGGTTGTCACAGCCAGTTTTTCAGGGTGGACCCATTCATACACCCACAGATCGTAATTTTGACTTTAATCAGAGATCGATCAATTTCCAATTCAGTACCCCCAGAGGTGTCGATTTGTTATAGGTGGGCTTGGAGGACTTAGTGACCCCAACAGATTCAAACTCCCGTTTTCACGAACACGAATCTGACGTCCAACCAACTAGGGCTATCCCGATCTGTAACCCTTGAATGGTCAAATTGGTGGTTGCTGCCTTTCACTGAAAAAGGATCTATTGATTTCTATCAAATCATTTTTCTTATTTATTACTTTTATAATTATTTACGAAGTAGAAAAAAAATATCACAGATTAATTGCAAGCTACAAAATTTTGCAACTTTTGGTAGTTTAAGTAAAAAAGATACATAGATATTTTAAATAGATTATTATGGAAATTCTCAAAAACCGCAATTTTCATTACTCAACCGAAAGACTTATTTTGACTATGAAAAAAGCGTAATAATTCCGGGTAAATGGATATAGTATATTACTACCTAATTAATTAACAAATTAAGAATTTCACATGAGTTTTAATCTCCTTGTACTTACCACATTTTGCCAAAAGGCTTCGATAAATAAAGGATAACACAAATACAAACAGTAACAGTATTCAACTATTTATTCTGTGGCAACAAAGTCATAGCCTTCTCTCAAACACATAGTATTTTGCAGTAAAGCATTTCTGTGAAAACAGATATCAAAAACAGTTTATTGTTTCCACATTGCAAAATTATTGTTATTATTTTTTTCTTCTCAAAATTATATAATTTCTACAAAAAGAAATGACAAGGTTTTATGATTATGATGAATAAAACATAACGTATACTTAACAAACCATTTTTTAAAAATTTTGACTAATTCTCAGCTTAGTGGCAATTATAGGATGCTTTGTTATCACCACCTTGAATTTATATTTGCATAATAAGGGTTGCAAATTAATATTTAATTGAAAAAAAATTTGAACATTTCAGTATTGAGGTCAATCAAAATGAAGGAAAGATGAACATAATGAAGAACAAACAAAACCATTTTGCTTGTCCTTCAGATCTTATCTTCACTTTAGGTGTTTCAAGATTACATGATTTCCCCACTATCTCCTTTCTGTTTCCATGGTTTTGGCAAATCTTGAGCTTTTTCTATTGAAGTACATTCCAACTTCTTACTAAATTGTATTGCCATGGAAAAAACAAAACAAGATTTGCAGAAACCATGAAAATGGAGAGGGGAAAAGTGTAGAGAATAGGGAAATTGCGTAACCTTGAGATGTCTATTCTATTTCCAAGAGTATAATCAGAATCAGAACAAGCAAAACTATCAGATGAAAAATTAATGTAAGGAGAACAGGTAAATGACTATTTTCTTAATTTTTCGCTTCTGACAGATTTGATTAGGGTATTTTTTCATCAAAGTTTTTTTGCTCTCCTTAAGCACTAATTCAAGACTCCAAATGTGCATATTTATTTTTAGACAAGGGTTATAAAAATATATATTAAGAGTGATTATAAAACCTCCTCTAGACAACATCTTTCTCAAAACAGAAATTACATAAAGTAACTGAAAACTTTTTGAAATATATTACATTACAGATTCTTTCTTTATTTGGTAGACTACCATCAATATTTCATAAAAGTAATAAATATATCAGATTTCAATAAAAATAAAGTAAAAAAATAAGAGTTTTACTTTGATATACAAATATAAAACAAATATACATAACTTATAAACAAGGAAAAAAAATTAAAATGAGTATTGGTATTACTGCAAAACACAACTGTACAGATTTACAAAATTTTACAAATTTTAAAAAGAAAGCTCAAAGTTACTACCATAACATTAAAAAGTCCATTTATTTTAAGTCCCCAAAACATTTCCCCAGTCCCAAATTCACCAGAAAGCAATTTCTTTATAAAGGATACTGAATTCTGGAGCAATGACCAGCAGTATAAAATTTTAAAATAGCATATTAGTAGCAGCTAATAATTGAAAAAAAAAATGAACAGTAAAGAAATTGAAAAATAAATAAAACTTACAAAAAGAATGCAAAATGTTTCAGTCAAAAACTTTCAGAATACTTTGATTTTGAATATTTTTCAAAACTTTCAACAGCTTACAAATAAAATATAAACACAAGCATATTAAACCAAAATTTAAAAAAATGATAACACAATCCTGAAAATGTAAAAATACTTTTATGATAGTTTCAACTTCTTACAAATAGTAGCTTAAATTGAACTTTAAATAAGGAAAAATTCAGAACACACATTTCCATTCCGAAACATTTTGTTCTAGTTAATACTTTCAATAAAATAAATTACAAATCTGAAATCATTAACATACTGCATTTTATAAATATTGACTGCAAATAGTCACCATAGATAACTGCATATCTATGGTAATAGCCTATACCAGACTCACAATTGATTTATTTTAAGCAAATTGCATAACTTTAGTTTAAAATGCTGGTCTACGGTTGTTGATATACAATAGTAAACTCCAGCTATGAAAACATGAGAAGTATTCATCTCTCCGTGTTTAGTTAATCAATGATGTTTTTAAATGTGTAAGTTTTTACTTATTACAATAAAAGTTATCAGATATTTAATAGTTAACCATAACAACTCATTTTAAGTATAGTATAATTGCTAATTAAGAAAGATTGCTGACTCTCAAGTTTATGAGGATTCGCTGCTTTATGACTGTAACTAGCATATAAAAATACATATAAAAACATGGAGTTTTATGAATAAAATTTTTCTATTATTAAAACATTAAAATAGTACTTTGCTTTTAAGGGCGGCTTCACCAATACTACCCTTTAACTGTCCTGGTTTTTTTGAAAACTTATACAAAACGCATTGTTTCCTCTTTGAAAACCAGTTAACTGCACCAGTAAAACCAGTTAACTGCACGAGGTAGCAATTCCCAACACAGTTCATGACAGACAGTTAAAGAGTTAAACAGTACTTACAAGTATAACACAGTAAGTACAGATACATACTTTCACAAATACGATCAAGTGAAAAAGAAAGAGAATAAAAAGAAAAGGAAAAAGATTTTCGTAATGTGTACAAGTACGAAATTTAACAATAACTGTGTGTTAAAATACTTAAAAATTATTATCTTTTTATTTAAAATACTATATTGTTGAAACTTCTTTGCTAAGATAAGAATTAAAGGTTTATTTGAAGAGGAATTAAAAAGAATATTGAAATAAGCAAATGCATACAAAACAATTAGGTTACAACATTGCATATTTACAATTTATACATAGTTTTTATTTATAAATATATACTGTCAAAATCGTCGCAGTTACAACATCTTATTTTCCCCCCAGCTCTACACAAACACAACTCAAATATTAGTTTTTCTTTATTCAAAAAGTTATTACTCTATAAGTGCACTATACAGTATACTCTCAATTACCTGAGTGTAAAGTAATCATGCTTTAATTAAAAAATATACTATGATTAAACAAATATAAGAAAATAATGAGTTCTTTTACTACAGTACTAATGATTTTTTAATTTTTTTTATTAATTAGCATGAAAAAAAATCAACAAATATTTTCACAACATAGCACAAACTGTCTGCATTTAATAACAGTTTGAAACCATTTTCACTATAAAAAAATGAAAATGAACACAATGTTATGGATACTATAATTTTAAAATATTCTTAACCATTTCCTTTACATACAAACTGTATAACTGTAAAATAAAGGCTGAACGATATCAGTAACCTGACTATATTGTATAATTTATCACAAAAGTAAGGCTACTTCCATAAAGTGAAAAAGGTCCTCCTTGCAAACAGTAGTTGAAGCTATTTGAGGCACTCAGTCAATAGTTGTGCAGTGTCAAAGTCAACTTATGTAATGAGAAATATACATATTTTGTTGTTCAGACAAAATAAAAAAAACGGAGTTTTCAATAAGAAAACATTGAAACAATTAGCAATAAAGTAAAACGCAGAAATTTAAATACCCCTGCAAGAAAAGATTCATCTTTTTTTTTTGTTGTAACACTCAACTTCATAAGATTTGTTGAAATCCAACCTGTTAATTAGTGTAAATGAGTCAGTCATTTTCTAAATAAAGAGCCCTCTGGATTGAAAATGATTCAGCAGGTAAACTTTAAATAATGGAACAGCCTGTACATCAACCATTACAATCAAATTATCTTTACCAGCCATTAGAAAATTGAGAGTACACTGCAAATCTCACTAGTGAACTATATACAGCATTAAATCTGTTTTACAGACATCTAAAATCAATACAGTATATTTGTAACAATTATTATTTGGATTGAATCTGGTGCTATAAGATTAAAATTTTTCTTCTTCTTGCTGTTGAAACAAATAGATATGGTTAGGATCAAAAAGAAAAACACAGAAACGATTGATATAATCAATTGTTTATAGGCATGCGTTATTGCTATATTGCACACCGTAACAGTCAACTGCAAGAAAAAATGTTTTAATTTAATCTTTCACAAATTACATATGGTTCATAAATGATGCCACACTTTTTCCGACATCACATCCTTAATTTTATTACTAAACTAAATTCTAAATTAGGATCTAATATAAACCTTAATTAGCATTGATACTTTTCAATACAAATGAAAATAAGAAGACCCAGTGAAATCAATGTTCCTTAACTTTAAAAAATAAACGTAAGATGAAAAAATTAAAAATGTGCATTGTCACACTATTAACAAACTTTCCCTTCTCACAGTTTCATGAAAATCCTCTCACTCAAGCTGTGACATCATTTGTGAATACCTGCTTTTGAAAATATGTATAGTTTTATTTGCAAAAGGATTTTAATAATACAGTAGTTTTAATACACATAATTGATTGCACAAAAATTAATGATGCAATAGGTGAGTAATATGTATAAAAAAAGTCTTTATTGGCAAAACTTGGAGTGCTAAAAACTTATTGCAATTTTTAAGTTTTAAATAGATGGTCCTTTACAAGATACTACTGATCTTGGAAAATATATATTTGATAAAGATAGCACCAGATAACCAAAATATATAGTTTTCTATTAAAACCAGCCTAAATAGGACAGAATATAAACAAAGCTAAACAAAATCTTAGTTAAAGCAAAGAAGTGTGAAAATAATAAATTAATTGAGTAATTTTCTCAATTCTTTTCTTTAACCATGACTTTGTTCAGTATTTTCATTTGCATAGTATAACTAATTTGCATAGTTTAACTCATTTGTATAATGCAACTCATTTGCATAGTTGAACTCATTGGTATAGTATAAGTCATTTGCATAGCATAACTTATTTGCATAGAACAACTATTTTGTATAGTACAACTCATTTGCACAGTATAACTCATTTGCATAGTATAACTCATTTGCATATTATAACTCGTTGTATTTTACCATCAAAAGTCACAAAGTTTTTTTCCTAATAAAATACAAAACTTTAATAACGATCAAATACCATTACAAGGAATCTAAAGCAATATGTGATTTTTATCCTTCAGAGGCGAATAAATATTAATGAATCAGTGCAGCAAAAAGTCAGACAAACATACAAGAATATAAGTTCTTCAACTGAGATATATTTGTATTTTTTAATAATAGAAGACGTGCAAATAAACTGAAAAGATTTCACAAAAGCAATATATGAACCCAAATTATGTACTTTTGTTAGAAAAATCTTTTTAGTATAATGCTAAAAAGGCAATTTATTTTGTTGTTAATTCTAGATAATAAATTCTCCATTGTATATATTTCTTGCATAGGCTGAGTAGCAAAACAAGTTTCCCCAATTAATTCTCCTGTACACATTAAAAAATTGCAAACAGATGAAATAGCTCTCTTTTTTCTTCTTATTACCCGTGCAAACTATTTACAAGAGATCACAATAAAATAGTTCCGCAACCAATAGATAATAGTTTAAGTAAGGTTAAAGTATTAAGGTATGGATGAAACTTCCAGTAGTAAGTTTCTTAGAAGAGGAAAAAAAAAAGGAAAAAAAAAAAAAGGAATTAATGCTTTTAAATATTTTATGTTCAGGCACACAGAAAAATTTGAATAAGTTTTATTAGAACATAATAGGTTTCTTTTCAGTTTGGTCTTTCACATATTGGGTGAAACGCTTTAGGAACTTGGGATACTCCCTCTTGTAGACAGCTCTCAAAACAGAAGCTGGAGCCCAACCTCCAGGGTTAACTACAGAACATGGGGAAAAAAAAAACATTTGGTATAATAAAACCATTAAGAGTTTTTTAACATTCATCTCAAAGTCAATATTTAAGAAATAAGGGTATTTAAAAGAACAAACAAATTAAGCAATGACCCTAATAATTAAGTTTCTTAAAACTAATTAAGACAAATTAATTCATAAATTAAAAGGCAAAATCATAAATCTGAAAAAGTAGTTACTTACTTTACAACAAAAAGGAATTAGTTTTTAAATTTTTTTTCCGATGCAAACTTTATAATTGCATTTTTTATTTACATGTTTAAAAAAAAATATTAGTTTCAAATAAATTTCAAAAGTTTGATAGCACATGGAGGCTTTTAATTTTTAGTAGACAATGTTAAATGTGTGAAAAAATAATTAAAAATAATAATTACTAAATAAGGTTATGAAACATTTTGTGAGGTTTAACACAAAGCTATTAATTATTATATAAAACAAGATAAAAAAATAATAATACAATACTACAAAATTCTAATCAAATATTGCATCAATTAATTTTTCAGGCATCAAGGGCATTTACAAATGCTATGAACATAAACCATTTTAAAACTAGTTAGATGGCTTGCAGTAATAAAAGTAAATATAGATATCTTTTTTTTAATGTAACTGTAACCAAAATTTTGATAGTTTGGGCATGTAGTTTTTGGCACAGTCTGAAGGTGTTTTTTTGGAACTGCTAATTATTTCAGCTGTGCCCCTTGAACTGAAGTAGAATTTCCACCATAAAAATAAATCTACAAATATGTTAAATTAAAGCAATACAAATTATTGGTTCGTCATTGTAAATAAAAAGTTGAGCAGTTAGCGATGAGATGATAGGCAACTGCTAATGGTGTACCGGATAAGCAAATTTATCATCAATATTGGTAACTAAACACAAAATCATCACTGAATATATAATAATACTGATAAATTTCAATAGTAGTTTCACTGTTAGGGAAGATTACAGCATTTAAACCTATTACAAAACCATCTAATGGTTTAACAAAACAGAAGCACGGCTGTTCTAAGATGCATTATAAATAAAAATGACTGGAAACTCTATGTAAACCTTTTTCTCACATTTAAATTGAAGTTTTAACTAGAAGTATTTGATGAATTTATCACAATATCACTCATGCAGGATTTTAATGTGTTTATTGCAGTATTTACAATTGTTAATATCTGATTTTATCAAATTAAATAATTCTAATTTTTAAGGGTAAAAATTAATAATGAATTATGCATACATTATTTTTATAAAATTAAAGATAACTTGAAAAGAGTCAAAAGTCTTTGACATAGTTTATAATTTTTAATATTATATGAATTTTAAATATTTTCATATTAAATACTGGTACATGCCTACCAACTAAATCTTATACTGATTAAATTCAAACAAAGTACTTACTGCTAGAACAGTATGTGATTCGGCAGGTCAAATTCTCCCTAGAGATTTCTTTGTTTGCAGCAGGTGGATCAACAAATGTTTGACAGACGAGGCACACAGTCATAACCAAACGTACACATTTCCCAACCTAAAATTTTTTAATCTTATTAACAGACAATAAAATAGTGACAAAAAGTATTTATAAGTATAAAATTTATTTATTTGTAATTATTTAGATGTATTTACATTATTTACATCAAATGAATTTGATGTATTTTTATGCATTTAAGAATTATTCTGTTCAAAATTAATTTTTTTTGCAGTACAAATGCACTAGAGTTAAGCACTTTCTTCATATCTTTTTTAAACAATGACTTTAATTTTCTGCAAACAATTAAGATCACAGATTTAAGAATCAGTAAAAGAAAAAATATAAAATATATGAATTTAGACATTTCAGAACATTTATTTATGAAATATTCATGAGATTTATCTCAAATTCTGGATTTCAGACACTTAAAAATAAAAAGTTTTTTCTTTTATACTTTACAATACATATTTTTCAATCAATATAAATAAAATAAACTAGGAGGTTTCATCCTCTGTTTATTAATGCTTCGCAGTTCCCTTCAGATTATTTCACAATCTAAGCTTGCTTCGCTTGCTCATTGGATACTTCACTTCCGTCTAGCTTTACATCCCCCCCCCCGGAATACAGAAGTTTAGAATAAATACTTCATTCCCTTGACCAAACTCAACTGTCTGAGGGGTGTATTCGGGTAAGGAAAATTTTAAATCTGCTTTTAAATCTCAAATAAACTGATGGCGAATATTTAATTTATTCGGCAGTATATTTTGATATATGTAAAATACAACACCACCACCTAATCAAAATATGAGGTATAAAGTGTGTGTTAATTTAGATTCTCTTTTACTTTTTTCTTACAAAATTATACCAATACAGTTCAATCAGTAGTTTTCTAAAGGTAGTTAAATAGTACACATTTGTCTGCTTTTAAATTTTTGATATACATCTTTGTTTTCAAGCAATTTATGTTAAAGGAATCATCCGAATTGGTTTTAATCAGTTTAAATAGTAAAAACTAAATTTTAAAAATACAAAAGTGTAGTTTAAAATTACTGATTAAAAACCGCAAATTTTTAAGGAAAATTTCATTGAAGTTCTAAAAATTATCAAGCCCTATTTCTCCTAATTTGAGCAAAGCCTTAATTTTTGAATTTTTTTTGAAAGATATAGTGCTGCCGAATAATACTATATTGTCAAAAACAAAAAAAACCTGAAAAAAAAAGAAACAAAAATAAAAAAAGTTAACCTAAAATCCAAAAGGGTACGGAGTTAAGTAGCATATACCAATGACTATCAAAATTAGAAAATGAAAGTTTTAAAATTTTTTATGCAAATAAGTTTAAAAAAAAAAATGGTTTTAAGGGAGTAGTTTGAAACTTTATTAAGAATTAAGTAAATTATAAAAACCAATAAGATAATGATGTTTAAGAATTAGCATCACTATCATAAATCATTGCATACTTAGTAATTAAGGTTGAAAAAAAACAACAACAAGAAAATTAGAAAGCTTTATTAAGGCAACTGATGCCAAAACTATAACTTGATTTAAAATGTAATTACCTCATGACCAAATTTTTTACACTAGTCTTTTAAAATTATTATCAGCAATGTTAACTATTTTTTGAAAATATTTAATTAAAACTTCGAATTAAAAGTAAAATAATTTTATATCATACATAAAAATAACCACTGTGGTAGAATCGCAGTGACACGGCGACATTGTCGCAGAACGTTACATAGTTCTTGCAGAAAGAATGTTTGTTTAGAAAGTAAAAAAAATTTGTTTTCTTTTCTGCAGAAATTTTTGAAATTCCCCCCCTAAAATTATACTTAAACGATACCTTTTTTTCGCACATCGGAAAGAAAAGAAATGTTCGTAATTTTTCTATCCTTATTTGAGAAGAATGAAAAATAAACAATAATGAAGTAAAAATTTCTTATCTGTAGAAATGTTTGAAAGATTTTTTTTCTCTTCATAATTATATTCAAAAGATGCCTTTTTCGGAAAAGGAAGGGAAAGAAATGCTCATGATTTTTCTATTCTTATTTATTATAAATTATTTTTTATCTTTTTTTGTTGATGTGATGATGATTTACAAAATGGCGAAAAAGGAATACTTAGTGAGTTTTCCTCGTACAAAATGTAAGAATATTGCCCATGATATTAGAATAAAAAAAATATTACACATCAATTTTAAAAAATATATAATTTTTTTTATCCAAATAGGCTTTTTTTTTGTAAACACAACTTTTCTGTTACTTTAAATTTAAGTAACTTGTATTTTTTTATTATTAAAAGTGTCTTGCAGAAAGATATTAGTACGAGAGAGGTTTGTCGCAGAAAGCCCAAAAACATTTTGCCTCAGGGAAAATAACTAATAAAAATTAACAGTAAACAAGAAAGGTTATAAATAGTAATTCAAGCTAGAGAAAAATGAGATAATCAGAAAACTTTTTAAAATATTGATACGAATATACATTGATATTGATACAAAATATATACTGAAACGAAAAATATATTTTTTGTTTAAAAAGTAAAGGTTTAGTGACATTATATTTTAACTTAAAAGTTAGAATAGTAGTACAATCACAAGTAAAAATATTTTGAAATAACTTTGATGAAATCGGATAAAAACAAACAAACTAGGAATAAGGTTAAGATAATTATTTAAGTTACTTACCGGACAGCTTTCATGTTCACAGGAATTATTGCAAACTATCCATATGTCATGGGCATCTTTGTCTTCATCATTGGGCACTTGACGCATATGGGACCAGAAAAGAGCATCTCGCTGTGTGGCTGGCCATACTCTTTTGTGAATTTGATGGAAAATTAGAGTGTTCGGATCAATTTCTTCTGCAACTTTCATATTTTCTACAGTTGCTATAAAATAAAAATTAGAGATTTTTTAGTTTTGTATTATTATTTTTCTGAAATTTAAGGATTTTTTAAAAAAAATATTTAATTTAATCTTTATGTAAAATTTGATACTTTCAACATAAAATTCCGGTTAATTAGCTCACAAGTCTTATATCTTAAACACATACTTAAATTTTTTTCTACTGCATCTGAAGAAGGTAAAAAAATCTTATTGACCTAAAGGTTAAAAACTTTTATTGATAATGAATATAATAAATGTTTGATTTCATTACTAGTGGATAGTCTGCCCCTTAATTTTCGTGAAGTTTTAGGGCTTGAAAAGTAGACTTATACACCGGGATATATGGTATTTATCATTTTCACATAATTGTTTCTTCATTTGATATTTCTTATATTTGTTTTTCTTACGCACATAAAAGTAGACACAAAGATATAACTTTCTAAAGCACATTCACTTTTCTACGGAGCCGCAAAATTCCAATGCATTAAAAAAGAAAAAATCTTGTTTTAAAGTCATTTGTTAAAAAATTAGTAAACCTTTATAGTTAAAAAATTTTCAGAAACAAATTATTATCATTATTTTAAAATTAAAAGTTTTTAACAAAAAAATAATCTAAGTACAAAAATGCCTTAGTTTAAAACCATTTTATTTTTCAATGAAAATAGGGTTAAAAATAAATACTGAAGACGCACGATGAATCCTTAAAAATAAAACTAGAATTTAAGATTCATTATAATGCCAATAACCCAATTGTATTAAAACTGGCAATTTTTAAAAGTAAAAAAGAAAAAAAAAGACAGACAGTTAACATCATTTAAACTATAGCAATATTTTAAGAATTGATATTGATTGCAGTGATATATATATCATAAATAAATCAAAAATCATTAAATAATATTGTATTTTGCTTACTTTCCCAATCAAATCTATAATCAGGAGCAAAGAAATAATGACACATCTCATGACCAGTAACGCCCTGAAATTTAAAAAGATTATCAGTAAGGAAGCAGTGAAAAACAATAAATATTTTTAACATTGCATTTACCAAAAACTGTGTGTAAAAAGTGTTAGTAATTTAGTGTTTAGACATTATAAAGAGATAAAATCCTTTACCTTAACAGTGTGAACTGCTTTCAGTGGATCACACACAATTCCACTTTCTTCAACTTCTCTACGATACATTCTCATCTCTCCATCCTCTGCAAAGAGTTGCCATCCTCCTTCACCAAGACCCATTTTGGCATATTTCAGCTGCTCTAAAGTGATGGCATTTATCTAAAATAAGAAATTAAATATGTGTTATTACAGTGAAAGAAATACAAATTTAATCATAATGGCTCTGTTATTTACTGGCTTCTTTTGTTTATTTAGAAACTTAATTTCAAAACTAACAAGGGAAAGAATCATAGTTATAAATTGTAATTATTAAACTTAGGAATACAGAATAGGCGACACAAAAAGAAGTAATAAATCAAGAATTTTTCTTGTTACAGATAACCTTATTTCACATAACAGTTCAAATTGGAATTTTTTTTTACATCTCTAATGAGCCTTATTTATATTTTTAAAAATTTTGACACATATGAAGTGTTAAAATTTATAACTGGCAGCTCTATAATTCTCTCATATCAGCATCTATTCAATAATCATCTAACTCTCTATTTTTTCGTTTTATATCAATTCTGTCTTTCTTTTGTTACTGCTGACATCAAGTCCAGGGCTAGCTCATAAAATGAAGACTTCGAGATAGCCATTAATTATAGTCATTATTTAAAACAAAAAAGGGAGAAATTTTTTTTTGTTGAAAAAGTAGTTAATTGCAATAAATTTGTAACTAAATTAAATTTCAGATTTTTTTTAAAGTTCATAAATGAAAATGGCTCATTTAACATTCGAAATTTCAACTCAGTAATTGCCTTTTTGCAGACAGCAAAATTATTTTTTTACTACCAGTTTAACAGTCAGAAATTCTAGAGTTAATTATTGAATATAATTTTTTTTTTTAACTTCATTGTACTCTCAGAACATTTTTCGCACACTTCCATAATTTTGAGTTTGTAAGACATTGTGGAAATCAAATTTTTGCACAATAAAACAAATGTAGTGTAAATTTGAACATCCAAAAAAATGGCATCAATGCTTAGGATTTTTAATATAAATAAATTGTTACAGTAAAAAAAATAGCTAGTATCCATTGGTTAATATTTTATCATAACAATTTAATATTTATTTAAAATTAGTAATCAAGATCAAGAGAATAGGGTGACTACAGTCTGGAAAAATGTAAACAAATGTTTCATGAATTTATCGTAAATTTCAAAGGATTTCAATTCACGTCAATTTTAAGAATTCATTTGGACAGTTGTAACAAGGATATTTAGCAGGGTTCCCACTCTTTTATCAAAGCAAAAATTAAGCACTTTTAAGGACTTTTAACAAAAAAATTAAGGACTTTTTTTCTAGAAATTAAGGACCTTAAAAATGGCATAATGATCAATAATTTATCATCAAATAAAACATTATAGATTAATAATAATAGATTAAAAAATGGAATAGCTTTTCTTCAACTCAGTCATCCTTTAAAAAAAAAACTAAATAAAGAAATGTTTAATACAAATAATCTGTATTTAATTAAAATTAAATTGTATTTAATCACCTCATGCAAGCTTTTAAGAATATAAAGAAAAACTCAAAGGCAAAACAAAACTAACAAATATAACTCTATTGAGGTTAAGACAATTATTTTAAACTAAGTAAAACCTAATTATAATAAGCTAAAGATTTATTAAAATCACAAAATATAAAAAATTTAATGATTAAAATCAGAATATATTTAGTACCTAACAATCAGGAAAAAAGAAATACATAAAGTAAAAGGAAAACTTAAAAATTAAGAACTGAGAAACAGAAATGATTGTTAAAATAAGAGCTAACATAAATATTGAAACACAGGACAAGGCAGGATGTAATGAACAATTGAAATAAAAATGAAAAAATTCCATATCTAAAAATTGAAAATATAATGAAATAATTCAGTTCAAAATTTATTGTGAATGAAGGGGAAAAAACAACAAAACGCAGTGGAATCACATCATTTATAAAAGGAGATAAAAATCTTTATAAAATAGTCTGCTTTTAATTATAAAAAATTGTATGCTTACACTGATAAGCAATACTGCACCTTTGAGGAATTAGAATTTAATCAATTAAAAAGTATTATGTCTTGTATAGATATTGAAGGAACTAAAATAATCAACGATGAAAAAAATTTGTTTGTAATAATTAAAGTATTCTCTGAAATTATAAAACAATAATTTGTCAAATAAATCAAAGGTAATGAAAATTGGATGCAAATATGGATTNAGTAGAAAATAGGCTTCAGCTTTAATAGTAATTAAAACTATATTTTCAAAAGTTAATACAAAACATGTTTTTATACATTAATACAGCAAATAGCGATAATTATTTTCTTCAAAAATTCTATTTTGTCAAATTTAACAAAGATTTATTAAACTGGGAGAACTTTTACTTACATTCATTCATTTTTTCCCCCTTAAAAATATCACTACTTTAGAAAAAAGGTGTTTTATGTCTTAGAAGGAAAAGGCGATTCTAATTTCATTTCGTAACTTACAAATTAATTCAGTTTACAAAAGTTTCTTTTAACAGTTAATAAATTTTAATAGTATATTTGATTTGTCTTACATGTGGCCACAAGGGATGTTGACTGGCAGGAGAGACTACTGATGGTGTAGACATAACATTACTTTCGTCTTTGCTGTAATTTCTTACCAGTCTCTAATGAAAATAAAAATCATTATTAACAATGATATTAAAAGTTTCAATTTATATGATTGATAAAATATCAGAAACGACATTTATTGCAGATTTTTTTTATAGATAATTTAGTTATATAATTTAAGAAAATCAATTCTGGGCAATGATATCGCCGACACTCTGGCTAAGGAGGGAACAGAAGAAACTCTGATAAGTCCAAATTCACTCACCTTCATGGAACTGGCATAGAAAAAGAAAAAAGAAGACAATGTTTCCTGGTGCGTACCCCCCAAATATCACTGGTACCAGAGCACCCGTCCAGGAGGTGCACTCAACATTGGGTGGGAACGCAAAGGCCCAGACCGTACTTACCAGCGGCCATTTTAAGTCTCTTTCCTTCGAGGGTAGTATTAAAATCTTCTCAAACTGTCCCAGGTGCCACAACACGCAGGTTTTTCCCCAACATATCCTGAACTGTCTTGGACTGGAGAAGAGGGCCATACTAAATAACCCACTTTTGGTGGCCGACATCCTCCAGGTCATGAATTTCATGGACATTGTTTCGCCCTGCTGATTTTGGGGATAAGGAAGAAGAAGAAGGAGAAGAAAATCAAAAGAGATAAGGATTGCAAAAAAAGTCGGAAGAGAGAGAGAGCAAAAATGGTTACTAGGTTCCCATATTTAACCAAAGAAGACAACCCTTAAATATCATCTACAAAATTTAATTTTTGATTTAGATTAATAGGTGCATTAATTAATTAATATTAGTAAGGTGTATAATTGTATAGCACAGTGAAACCAATTTTGAGGCAACAGAAATTTCTTGTTTTATTAATACTCCAAAAACATTAAAAAAAAACTATTCCTTTAGGTCAGCCAGAGGCATTTGTCACAATTAATATTTAAATAATGCCGTTTAAAATTGGACTTTCTTTTTTATTCAAGACATTCTTTAGAGTCAAACTCACTAAATTTTATATTTGATATATTTTCAACTCATTATAATTAGAGATAAAAAAAATAATACCTATTTAAAAACGATACATTTTTGTTTAATTTAAGTACTCTAAATCATAAAAAATAATAATAGATTCAGTAAACATATATGATTACACTGAAATAGATATAACAAGAAGGGAGTCTCACAACAAAACATACTATTTATCGCAACAAAATGTTTTATTTTTTTCATTTGTATCATTCAAGACACAGCTATAATCAAACCATAAAATTTCGAACACAGCCGTAATTGATTTATCATCATTTATTTGCAATTGAATTGGATGAAGAGCTACCTTAACTTCCTTATAGCCAATTATATTTTATTCACTTACAAAGAATAACACATATAGAATTAGCCTCTAATTTTGTTTTAATTAAATGAAACTGAAAAACATATTTTTTCTTAACAGCTTATGGAATGATGAGGACAACTTAACAGAATTCTTCGAACTGTACATTAAAAGTTGCAATAATAATTGAAAAATAATTTAAGATTCATGAATTTTCGGTTAAATACCATAATGCACAAAATTTTGTAAATTGATGCACTAACATTTCACTTACTTAACACTCATTCGTCCTGTTTTAACTAAATCTTTAAAATTTAAAAAAAAAAAAAATTTAAAAAGTGTTTAATAAAATTAATTTATAAATTTACTATAATATTAAGAAAAAACTATATTAAAAAGCAGAAACAGACAGAAAATAAACACAAAAATAAAATAGTCAAAACACAAATTGTAACAAGTTCCTGTTGTTGCATTTAAGATTTTTTCCCATGGTTTTTGCCTTATTGCTCTCTTAAGTGCTTAAGCATTCGATTTTTTTTATGTCAGTTTTTGGTTTTTCAATATTTTGACATTTGAAAGTTAGCAAAGTTGGTAAGTAAAAAAAAAAAAAAAAAAAAAAAAAAAAAAAAAAAAAAAAAAANAAAAAAAACAGTTCTTTATTAACAGTTATTAAAGTTTAAGAAATTTGACAACATTTCTCAATTTTCAATGGGATTTAAGAGAAGATTTGAGGAAAAAAAGGATGCAAATATCCCATTAATTATGTAAAAAAAAAAAAAAAAAAAAAAAAAAAAACCGAAACACGATTTGAGGAAAAAAAAGGATGCAAATATCCCATTAATTATGTAAAAAAAACAAACAAACAAAATAAACGAAATAAGGATGTTTGTATTAATGCATATATTAAACAAATTTTATTGAATATAATAATTAATTATATGACAAAAAAAAAAAAACTAAAAATCGAACTAACCCTATCTTCTTCTATCTGCTCACTTTTGTCTAAAGCAGCGTCAACTGCATCAAAAAATTCATCTTCATTTATCATGGAATGAGGACCTTCCTGCAACAGAAATAAAAATTATTGTACACAGATTGCTTACCTACTATATCATATTTGACACAATAATGCAAAAGAACAATTTCATTGCCTTTTTATTAAGCAGGCAAACATGCTCATTTTAATGAATAAAATAAAGAATTAATCTTTAAATTTAATCGCTTAAAAAAATCATACATTTAAAAGGGAAATCATACGAAGGAAAGAAAAAAAACTAGATAAGAAGGAGTATATGAAAAAGTAGAGCTAACATTTAAACAAAAGAGTTTAGGAGAAACATAGTTACATTTTTATTTTAAAAAATATATTTATATTTCAATAAATTAAATTTTAAAACTGTTTTTATTGTCAGTGTTTCTTTCATTGATAAAAAAAATCTAGTTGCCCTTGCAAAAATAAAAATAAACTATCCATAATTATATTTACAAAAATTGCTAAAATAAAATAAGATAGTATTTTTTTACAGGTACTCACGATTGTATTGCTGAAAAAAAGATTAGATAATTAATGCAGTTAAAGGACTTTCGGGGAAATGGAAGGATAAGCTAGATTTAAAAATTGTTTCCGTGTACAGTGCTGTTACTGTGAAAATCTGGTACCTATCTGGAAACAATGCTGAAGAACAGTTAAATGTTAAAATCTAATCTTTATAAAAAGTATTAATTTTCACTATAGTGTCTCACCTTCCCATTCTGAGAGATAATATATTTTCATAAAAGACAATGTTTCCATAAATACAGATTTTGTAACACAATTTGCAAACTGTATTAACTAATAAGCAATGCAACAACAAAAAAAGTGAAGCAAATAAATTCTCGATACTGTTTAACAATTATTCTTCATAAATGTAAACATCAGTAGTTTCTTGGAACTGCGGAAAATAACCGTTAAAAAATTCTGAAAATTTTAAATTAGAATTTTTCTTCAAAGTTAGCAAGTTTTACAAAAATTTATATAATTAAAAGAATTTTTGAATCTTTTTCCCTCACATTTAACTGAGAAGAGCTTTTAGCTACATATTTTAAAAGATAGTATGTTATTTTCTATCCGTCTTGTATCAGGCAGATACAAAAACGTATTCACTCTTTTTATTTAAAAAAGAACTGTTTCAAAAAATATTTATCCTATCTTAGATACATTAAAGTAATTATTTTCTAAATTACAAGAGTAACAACAATAGAAAAGTTCGAAATACCCACCTCATAATCAGGACCACCAACAACAATAGGTCTCATGGATTTGATTTCTGCAAGAGCTTGTTTATATGCATCTTCAATTTTTCTCCGCTTTTCACCTTCCTATGTAAAATAAACAAGTGTAGTGTAAATACTCTAGAAAATCAATTTTAAATTTCTTTAAGCATAGTTATAGAATTCAAGGAATTTTTAAACTATATATACGTATATATAAAATAACATAAAAAAGAAAAAAAAGTTACAATACAATAAGTAGTTATCAATAGCTGTTATTAATGTTTATCTATAACCTTTATATAAAAATATATATATAAATATGGCACAAATACAAAGCTTTGTACTACTTCACTATGTACTATGAAATTGTATAATATGGCACTTCAATAAACAAGGTTTTCAAAAACCATAATCGTAAAGAAAAAAAATAAATTACAATCATATGTAACTTTGCATTTATTAATTAAAGCTCTGATAAGATGCAGTAGTAATACTTAATATTATCTTAAAACAATATTATAACTAAAATAGCTAATATTTCGAACCAAAATGGTTAAAATTGTTATTGAATAAATTAATCACTGAATAAAATAAGTACTGAATAAGTTATTCAAGCTTAACACCTACATGAAAGAAAAAAAGAAATCCAATTTGTCAGATTTCATATGAAGAATACATTAATTTAGATCAGAAAACAAAAGAAAAAAGTAAATTATTCACAATTACATTTGTAAAAATAACTCTTCCTTCAATATTTATATAAACAAATGCATATTAACTTAGTTTCAAAAATAATTGTATTTAATTTAAAGGAGCATACAATTAAAGGGTTATAGTTAAAAATATGTATATTAAACAACAAATTATTTTACAAACAAGTGAAAAATTACTATTTTAAAATGTTAGTAACTTTTATTTACATTTGGTCTTCATTTTAAAAATCAAATAATAACTTAGGATTCTATTTTTCTAGATAAAATCTTCAATATCAATAAAATAGGACTTAGCAAAAGTATTTTGAACTTAAATATTTTATCATTATTTTTTTAAAGAAATTTAAATCATGTGAACCCTGTTAATAAATAATAATAATTACACGAGTCAAGTGTAAGATTACTGGATTCCTAACTTTAACTTATTATACTAAATAAACAGCCAGATATACTAAAAAGTTAAAGAGTGTCAAATGGAGATTAAATTCCATTTCAAAAGTACACACCATAGAGCCTTAAATTCATACAAAATAACGATGAACAATTTCAAATAAATAAAAACATTATTAGATTTTTTATTCTTCAAAAATAAAAACAAAAGGTACATAAATCATAGCATGATTTTAATAAGTGCCGAATCAAAATTACAGAGAAATGTTATTTTGTAATAAAATTTACATTTTAATTTGACATGAAAGTAGTTATCAGTGTTTCTACAAATCTATTTGATTTTTAATATTTTTCTACTTAATACTTCATAAATATAGTGTTGTCACCATTTTTTACTATACACACAATAAATGAATTTTGTAGAGGATTCTCAATGAGTTTTTATTTCTGAACAAAGGTACGCAAATAAACAGATATAATATACACTAACACCATTTGGGGAAAATTTGTTTAATCTCCTATTCTAAAGGTAAGTTAAAGTTGAGTCAATAACCAGTTTTACAATTTCAAAAACTGCTAAATTTAAAATAAAATATGCTTGAATGCATAATAACCAATTAAGAGTTTTATAAAAATTAGAAACACTTTTACAAAAATCAGTAATTTTTTAAACTTGACAAAATGTGTTGAAACAGGTTACAAAAATCAATATCACAAAAAGTATTTTAATTTAGATTTTGCGTAAATTTTTTTAAAAAAAGGGGTACTCTCGGCTTACATTCAAAAATATGCAGTAAAAATATTTATTTTTAGGTTCACTACTAATAAAACTGAGATGGGCACAGTAGGCCTTGGCCCTCCATGGTGTCACGCCACCGAGTTTAGAGTTTCACTACTAATATAATATAACTTTAGAAGACTTTGATTAAGAAAATTTTTATTGCAACTATACCAAGTGTTTAAAAGTGGTGCTTATATTTTATTATATTCTTAAGTAGAAACTACAATCTCTGGTAAGAGTATTCAGTAATATCCATGAAAACTTTCAGTAGTTTTAGTCCTTTTAGTAGTGTTACAGCAAAACGTGTTATGAGAAATATAAGACATTAAGAAATAATTAGCAATAAAATTAAAAAATAGCATTTTCACATTTTGTGCATTTTTCTTGTCATAATAATATTGCAGATAAAGCATTAAAATTTTAAATATTAGATAAAAAACAATAACTGTTAAAAAAAGAACAACAAACTGTGACAAGAGCCGAAAAATGATCGGAAAACAAAGTGGACTCATGTAGGAATAGTATGCCTACTCAAGTTCAAAATTCGTGTGTTTTAAACATCGTATGAAAATATATTGGATTTGAAAGTTGACGAAATGGCAAGAAAAAACAATGAATACCCGCAAAAAAAAAAAAAAAAAAAAAAAAAAAAAAAAAAAAAACCCAGGAAATAACGCTAACTTACAGTGGAATCATTGCAAATCGAGTGCGGTAAAAGTGATTACTCAAATTCAAAATTTGCATGTAAAAATTACATTGTAAAATGCATTGAAACTACAAAATTGCATAGAAACTATAGAGAATCCATAGTAGTTGGAGTATCTGTCTAATGATCAAACCACAATGGAATTACAAAACAAAATTAAAGAAAATTACCTTTTCCAATCTTCTTTTCCAATTTTCTTCTCTTTGTGAAAGAAGTTCAATGCAATGAGATAGCGTATTTAAAATGCCACTTGTTGTTGCTTTGAAAGTAATTGCCTCTCCTTTGAAATCTACAGCATGCTTACCATGTTGAACTAGCAATTCTTTGGTAATTATAGGTGGATGTCCTGTCAAAAAACAAAGTATTTGGTTACATGAAAAAAAAAAAAAGATTAGTAATATTTGCCTAGTTCATTTAAAACAGTCTTACAAATTACTGTTTGAGCAAAAGTTAATATTGCAGAATAAGGTGATTAGGATGAAGCTTAAATATTTAATCTTTAACAATTATTAGTCAGTATAACAACAATTATTAGTTAGTATAACAGTAATAACAATCCATAAAAATATGTGTCACATCTGGAAAAGTTATTTTTACAAATTTTGTGAAGTTACAACTGTTTGCACCAATGAAAAAGGTAAATTATTTTTGGTACAAAATGCATTAAAACTTTTTAGAACCAAAAATCCATAACAACTTAACTTTTGTTTCCTAATAAAAATAATTTAGGGTTAAAAAATTTTTTTAAGAAAAACTACCAAAATATTATAATATGTTTTTCAGTGCTTTTTAAAATTGCAGACCTATATATACTACAGAAAGAAAAAGAAAGCTATAAACAAAATAAAGATAAAATAAAAATGACATTGAAAGAAACATTAATGTTTTCTATTTATCTTTCAAGAATTTAGAAAGGTTTATTTTAACACATATCCTACAGCGTGAGGAATACTCATTATTTCACAGTCAATCATCAGTACATTGCAGTAAATATTTATCAAAACAGGCTGGTATTTGCTCAAATATAGAACAAATGATACTGTACGTATATGCATTAAGAGACAATATAAGTCTTAACATTCAAAGTTTTCTTTTGTATTCCAATCAAATTTAATAAATGCATCTTTAATATAAAACTCATCTTAGGTAAATTCCATTTTTCAGCTAAAACTGAATTTTATTTAAATTAAAAATGGAAAAATCTTAAAAAAAGTTTTTTTTATTTATATACACTGATATTTCTAAAAATCTTACAATTTAATCAAAATTGTTTACATTATTTATGTGAAAGTAATTATATTATTTTTATTATATTCAGAAGAACAAGATTAATCAATGTTTCTTAATTCATGAATTAAGGTTAAGCCCCTGATTTAAAATTAAACTTAGGAGTCTTGAGAGCATGATAAATGGGATAGTTAAACTTGTTGACTTAAAAAAAAAAAAAAAAAAAAAAAAAAAAAAAAAAAAGAAAGAAGAGAGAGAGAGAGAGAGAGAGAGAGGAATAAAAAGGAGAGTGATTTCAGTTTTTGAAGAAGCAGTTGTTTTGTTTCAGAAAACAAAAGTGATCGCACAATAATCTCTTAACAATTGCAATTCTTTGGTGAATAATTGCAAACAAGGGACTCTATACCCTAGCAAAATATTGCACATTTTTATACACAAAAATTAATTAACATGTAGAGATTTAGAAAAGTGCATACAGAATAACAACATTTTTAACTCAAAATTTACTACGTAATTAAAAACATTTGTTGACAGTTGTTTTAAAAAGTTAATACAGAGACTGTGTAAAAAATACTGCTGAGGTAATTATATATTTAATCAGTTTTGGTGTACTTTGTAAAGTATATAATAAGACAATATTAAGTAAAAAAAGAAAAAAAAAAAAAAGTGATTTGTTCGAAATGCATTCTAAACAAATTTGATAACACTGAGTAGCAAGAGCAAGACTAAAAATTTTTTCCAATTAAATAAGATTCTTAATATCATCAATTAATTCAGTCTCCAAGATAAGAACTGGCAAAATTTAAATCTTAGACTAAACACCCAAATAAAAAGAAATCTGATTTGAAGTTTGTCACTTCAAATCAGCTGCCTCAATAAATCACATAGTAAGATTGCTGGTTCAAAACCACAATTATCAACATTTTATAATCTTATCATTTAAGATTATTATCATCTAATAATCTCAAGTTTAATATAAATTGAATTTTTAAATTATAATATAATTTTCCAAATCAAATGGAACAAATTATTTCTACCTTTAAAACGATGTGTAGGTGAATCACTATTCTTTTGATCACTTCCTAGGGCAATATTTTCATCATAATCATCATCAATATCATCCACTATAAATATTAAATAAATGATAACTTATTTAAATACAGTTGTTTTGATTTAAAGAATAAAAATACAGTGTAGTTTTTCAAAGTAAAAATCGAACAAATTTATTAAATCTTTTTTTTATCAAATCTTAGTAAAAATGCTTTTTAAGCAAATAAATAGAATAAAAAAAAGTTGATAGAGTTTCAGTTATTCTTTTCTGCATAACACAGCAAAAAAGAATTTGAGTATACAATATTCTTTTGTGATCACCTGAAGAAGACTTTAGCACTTAGATAAGATAAACGAAGAATCAAAAGTAGCTACTTTCTTTATTACAGCATAGGAATTATATCATTTACTGATAAAAAGCTATAGATAAGATTTACTAAATACAGAAAAAAAAATTGAATTAAAATTCTTTTTTTAATAATTTGTAAACACAAATGCACAAAAATAAATTTTTTTTAAAACAAAAATAACTATTCATTAATAAAATTTGAGACAACAATTTTAAATAAGAGTGTAATCATAAAAATAATTCAAAGATTATACAATCAAATCTTGATATCATGAAATCAAAAGAAAACAGAAATAAATTAGGTGTAGATGAACCTTGATTATTCAAATTTTCTTCAACCAAATACTTTGAGTTTAATTCCAAAGTAGGCGTGCGTTTTTTCTCTTACAGACGTACTTTCCATATTTTTTTTTTTTTACACACATGCTTAGTTTTATTTCCCCCCCCTTCAAAATTCTATATTTTTTCATGTGGGTAATAAATGAATGTTTTGTTAATCAGTGAAGTTGGTTACCTTAGTTTTGCCTAATAATAAAAATCATAATTTTCATTCTTTCATCCATTTTTTCATTCGGAGAATATTATTTTAGTTTAACCAATACAGTTTCCACTTCTTATAAATGGAAGCATGTTGTGTTATCAGTTCAAGAAAAGTGTAGCATTTTAATTACTGTGAGTAGAAATTGGAGCAAGTCTTACAAAGCTTTCAGAGAATTATGCATAAATGAAATCAACTTGAAAAATTTATAAATCAGCTAATATGATTCAGAATTAGGTGCCACTTCGTATGAATGATTTATTCAAAAAAGGAGAGAAGTTACCTGGGAAAATAATGCAAATAAATTTTGAAAACAAAAAGTCATTCAATAACTACTAGCACCCTCTTCTAGAAGATAATCTAAAAGTGTTTCGTCTTCCAATGATACATTCAATTTTTTGAGCACCAGCTCTTTATTCTTTATAGACTATGACCAGACAGATTTTTTTTTCTAGTTTATTAGCTTGTGATGCTGTTTTAGTTTAGTTAAATGGCCATATTAGAATTAAACACTACATATCATGTACAATCAAAATATATATATATATATATTTTTAGTTAAAATCAAATTATATTTCTTATTAATAATTTATTATGAAAGATTTCTCTAGCATTTAATTTGCACCTTCAGGCATTAAAAAATACATTTAGAGCAAATTAACATTTCTTTCAGAGAAGAACAGTTGCAGCATATAATTTCTATCCAATTTAATTAAATTTTTTTAAAAAATATTTTACAACACAAGTTGATGTTATTTGTAGATATAGTTTTTATTTATGGTTTTTAGATATAGCACTAATGGATAAAATGTTTGGTATTTTTAAACAGGACACCGAATTAAAACAAGTTGCATTCATTATGAATAAAAAACTACAAATTTTAAATACATAGATTTTTAAAAAAATAAAAATAAAGATTATTAAAATTTGGAACTGAATATTCTCCCCTATTTAGATAAGGGTTTCTAATTTCAGATATGTATATATTTATATGTATATGATTTAATAGAATAATAGTTAAACTTACAACAATAGTATTTCAACTATTAAAAAAAAAGAAAAAAAAAAAAAAGAACATCAGTCTAAATAACGATATTTCAATAGCTTGTTTCATTATCAGCATGAAATGTATAGGTAGACAATATTGATAAAAAATATATAAGGTGGATTTTAATCCAGAAAATCAAAGATATTTTTTTTTACAAAATAAAAAATTTTTTATAAAAACATGTGTCTACCATTTCATTGAAATAAAAAATTGAATAGAAAGTAAATAAAATTGTAGTGTTGTATATTAATAATGAATTATCAGATAAAATACTTCATTTAAACTAAATGAAATAAAAACTATAAAAACAAAAATAAAAATTTTAGTTGTCACTGGATTTTGCATGAACTTATTAAATGTACTGCCTTGATTTTCTGATAGCAATCATACAGGAAAAAAATAATTGTGATGAAAGTCAACAGGTAATTAATAGAGAAAAGAATTTTATTCTAAACAAATTTAATTGTTGATAAATAAAGAATAAAAAGTTAATAAAAACAAAAAAATGATCTTAAGAAACAAAAATTGTTGAGTACACAAAACTCATCCAAAAAAATAAAAATGTTAACAAAAAAGAGATTGTTATATTAAAAATAATAATTTTAAATCAAGATAGTTTTTATTTTGACTTTCACATTTAAACTAATTAAGACTTTTTAATAAACAAAACATTTTCCTATTTTCTCAATAAATGCTGAATTTAAATGACTTTGAAGTAAATGAAAAAATCTGTAGAACAGATGAAGCATTCTGTTTCATTTGTTCAAAATTTTTAACTAGATTTTAAAGTAGAGGTCAAAAACATTTTAAACCGAAGTTATACAGAACAAAATTACGAAATTTTGCTAGCGGCCAATAGTAGCATTTTTAGCAATGGCCACATTTTACAACATGTGGTCCTTTTTTCAAATATTGAACTTTTAATTGATTTGAGAATAAATTGAATAAATTTTGAGAATTATAATAAAAGTCATTTCTTTTAAAATATTCTATCAATATATATTAAATATTATTAAGTTCATTTATAAAATGAAGAAAAATTTTAAGCATGAAATGAAGTAATTTTCGGAATATTATAATAATTCCATGTTTATCAAAGAAAAATTATCATAAAATGCACATTAGCTGAATTTTTAACTATAAATGTGGCAATCAGCAAGCAATTTTTTAATTGTCAACATTCGCTATATTTACTAGCCCCTGTAGCCAGTGGTGATTGTTAATGTTGACTAATAACTAGGGCCGCTATATATGAAGAAGAGCATATCCTCTTAACCTTCCGTTAGTCGCGCGCACCTCACAGGTGCATCCTTACTGCACTTCCACCTCCTTTGCCGTCAATAGATTTTTCCGGGGGTCGAGCCTAATGTTATGTTCCTAACTTTGGATTACTCAAATGTCCGTGTAAAACCGACCTTAGAACATGTCGATGGAGAGTTGGAACCGCTCAAATCACCCCTCTGGTGCAGCGCGACCATTGACGCAAGTATTATGGATATAATATTTTTATGAATTAAATATATATATTTTATCTCATTTTCTGTCCTTCTCAACGTAGCAGGTATAAATGGTCAAGTTATATACACAGAAAATGGTTACGGAGTAAAAAACCGCAGAACCTTCTTGCGTTAATTGGTTGAACATCTTGTGATGGAGGAAGAGATCCGACACGAAAGCAAGAAAAATTTATCTTCGGTACTTCGCTAAATAAGTTTTTTTGATATTTATCTCTCTAAAGAGTCTTAAATTGGTAACAATTAACTATTTAAACTAGACTAAATTTTAATAATTCGCTAAATAAGTTTTTTTGATATTTATCTCTCTAAAGAGTCTTAAATTGGTAACAATTAACTATTTAAACTAGACTAAATTTCATTTGGCTTTCAAAAAATCAGAAACACCTCATAGGTGCAACGCGATTAACCATGTCGGAAACAAGTGCGCGACTAACTGAAGGTTAATATAGTGTAGAACATATTGAATTGTGAGTCAGTTTTATATTGAAAAAGAATCTGATAATGATATATACAATTTAAAAAAGTAAGTAGTAAAAAGCTTTTGTTTTAGTGAATTAAAAGCTAATATATATCTACTGAAGTTTGGAACATTTAACTCTATCAGCATTTCCAATGCTCATGACCATGATTTCAGATTCAATATTACAGGAAAATTAAAATTGCATTTTATTTGAATATAAACAAAAAACTTACTATGAACATCATTATCTTTATGATTTTCATCAGAAGTCAACATTTCTGCACAGACATCAAAGTAACTTTGTAAGGTATCCACTTGACGACACAATATATCTTTGAATGTTTCCATCTCAGCAAGTTTTACTCTTAAACCACGAGCCTTTTTGAAAGAAGATATACTCGCATTGGAAAGACTCGTGGATCCAACAGATACAGCCGAGCCATGTCTTCGAAGACTATTTTCACTACCATATGCAGAATCACCCTGAAAAGTGTATTTAGGAACATTAAACAGAAAGCAAACAAATCAGCAACTTTTTTGCAGATTAGCTTTATATTTTATTTCATTAAATTCTTGCACATGTAATGTCTCACTTCTATTTCTTATTTAAATGGATATTTAAGCAAGGCAGTCAACACATGACCAGTAGGTATAAAATAAATGAACACTGGCTTTTGATTTCAATTGTAATTAAGTTACTAATACCCAAGACATCCTAATTTTTCAATAATAAATTGTATGTTCAGATCAAATTTCATGAAATAAATGTAAAAGAAAGAATAAGCTTGAAAATTTTTTCCTTTGAAAAATATAAAAAAAAAAAAGCAAAGTGACAACAAAAAAAATCTGTAGTCAAGCAATTTCTATCCATTCCGTTAGTTATGCCTATGAGTCAAGAATAAACAAAATACAAAAGATCCGTTTAGTTGTAAACATGAAATATCACCACATCAAAATTCTATAATATTTCTATATAAATATATATATAATTGTCTATATATATAAATGTCTATACCATTATTGTAATTGCTTGAAACTTGGCTAGTGTCAATTGATTTAATAATTTTATGCATGAATATTATCTCTCTCTCGCCCATAGTACGTAATATTTACTACATTATATGTAAATTATTTATGTACATAAATCAATATAAATAAATTACATATAATTAGAGTAGAATGGATGAAAAAAAATTACTATTAAAAATAGTAATAAGTACGTAATATTTACTACATTATATGTAAATTATTTATGTACATAAATCAATATAAATAAATTACATATAATTAGAGTAGAATGGATGAAAAAAAATTACTATTAAAAATAATATTTAAAACATTTGATTAAGCAGAAGGCAAAATATTTACAACTGATTTTGCAAAAATTTTTTTATCTTTAAGATATAAGAGAAACATTTTACAGAGTCAACATTCTTTAAAACAAATTTTACAATTTAAACTTATGATTTAATAGTTGAACAAAAGCTTTTATTCAACATATATTTTAACAAGTTATTTTATCCAACTGTTATTAAGTAAAATTAATAAAAATTTTAGATTTAAATAAGCCTAATTTAGATTATATCATTCTCATCTCTGTTCATGCCCAGTGGCACATAAGGCCCTCAATTCTCTACAATCCCTTGTCAGCTGCAGCTACTTTTACGTCCAACCAACTAGTCTACCCAGATTCATTCCTCTCTCCATTATCCTGCGTCAAGTAAGTTTTGGGCGTCTCTTCTCATGCCCAGTTGAAGATGACACTAAACTAGCCATTCTTAATATATGTCTCGTAAAGCTCCATATTCTTATTTTAATTTCTTTATCTAAGGATATTTTTTTGTTTTCCGCACTTCATTCATAATGGTATTTAATTACATTGATAATGGTGCACTTCATTGATAATGGCGATTATTAGCCAAATAATATTCATAATCAATCTCAAACATTTACACTACATAAGTCTGAACAATTTAAATTCCTGTTTAAATTTGACAGAACACATTTTGATTTCCTACAGTAACAATTGTAAACAATTCTAGAGCTGTTTTGCAACATGTTTCACACTTAATGTGATTTATGAGTTACAGCTTCTGTACATGAACATTTTCACAATAATCAAAATTTTTCCAATCCAATTATGCATTCATGGTTTATCTGTCATCATCATATTAGATCCACTAAGATAAAATATCAAGTAATCATACCTTTTCCTTACTTTTAAAAAATATATTATTGACAGGAATAACAAATTGTGTAAGCATTATAGTGATTAATATTTAAATAACTCATGAAACCAGCATGTCACTTTAACACCTTTTTAGACAATAAATTCTGATTCATGGATCAAGAAGAGTCTAAATATAATAAAATTAAAGTAAATATAATAAAATTGAGCAAGAATTTTTCTTCTACATTGTAACATTCTGATTGGTAACATGTTTAATATTTTCTGAGTTATGTCTATTGATAAGACTTTTAAATTGTCTATTTTCAACTTAAACATCTAAAAAGATATTTTTTTTTCGGAAAAAAAAAATAAATCTGCATTATTGAAAGTAGCTTCATTGGAATAGCAGTGTTACACAAAAACAAATAAAAAACTTAGAATTATTCATATGATGAATTTCACTCAAAATTTATAATTATTTACCAAGTAATATTGTGGTAAATAATATAATAATTTACCATAATAAATTCAGTAATAAAACATGCGATCTTCATATTTGGTATTGCAAATTTTTAGAAATAACATGAATTATAAAAGCAAAACAAAATATTCAAAAATCGTCAGATATCAAGACAATGCTATGAATTTTTACGGATAAAAATATTACCTTATACGCTTCTAATGTTTCAACCCATCGATTTCGTTCCTCTGGTGTTTCAGCTCTTAAATACCAAACACAGTCATGGACACTAACATCAAAACGACATTCATCAAACTCATGAGGCTAAAACATAAGAATTAAGGTATTAAAATACTTTATTTTTAATTAAACTAACAAATTACTAAAAAGAATTCAAGCAATTACATTATGATAATCAATGGGGATTATTATTATAGCATATTAAGAATCTGTGTGTATCTTAGTTTGCCTTTGGCTCAATGTTTCAGAAAAATAAATGTCTATGTTTCGTATCAATATTAGTTAAGTATAGCTTTATGCAAAGAAGAACTTAGGCTTGGCATGTAAAGTATTATGAGAATGCACAGTGATACAATTGAATTAACAAATATATGGGGAACAGATCACCTGTATAATATACACAAACACAGTTTGAGCAATTAGCAATTTTTTTTTACAATCACTAAAGAAGAAAAAAGAAAAATTCTGCTTCTTCAAAAGGAAGTTCTCTCTTTTTTTTAATTTTCGAGAAACAAACGATTCATTTTTACGCTTCATCCTACAAATGCCAACAAGATTTAAAATTACATTAACATGATTTAAAATCACACACCGTGATTCTTATTTATGCAATTTAAGATTGCGCATCGTGTTTTGTATTTTTTAAAATCAAAAATATCGTTTTGTATTCACACAATTTAAAAGCCAGAGTTATGATTCGTGTTCAAATTACTTAAAAATTATACAACGGAACTCATATTCACACAATTTTAAAATTAAACATCGTTATTCATTATCTTACGATTATAAAATCAAATATCGAGATTCGTATTCACACGATTTTAAAATCAAACATCGAGATTCATATTATCATCATTTTAAAATTAAACATCCAAGATTCTTATTCAAGCAAGCTTAAAACTAAATGTCGTGACTAGTATTTGCGTGATTCTAAAAATCAAATATTCAGATTTATATTCACACAATTTAGATAAATAAATAAAATTTCACATTGATATACCTATATATTAAAACAACGCTGATAACATTCTGTGGATAAATGCTTCTTACATATACTTTTTTGTTCAAATTGTAGGCAATTTTTCGATTATTTAAAAAGTGTTTTTGCACATAAAATTTTTGAATTTCTATTTCCAAATTTTTTGGTTAATTACGAAACTCATCCATATGGAATGAAACAATATAGGATTCTATAAAAATCAAATATCTTTAAAAAATATTCACAATTTTCAAACAAATTGTTACAAAATGAGGTGGCGACAACAAGGACGAGACTAATTACAAGAGTTAATCAATGCGTGAAGAAAACTTTTTAATTGAGATGTGTTCGCAAAAAGTATTTCCTTTTATCTAAATCTTTTGATGAATCATTTTGACATGAACAATAATTCATTTATAAAATCTAAGATTGATAGAGTTTTGCATTTGGTCAAAGATTATAGGAAAATGACATATGCAGGGGTCAGTCTAGGTTTTTTGGAGAGGTAACTATTTGGTGAATATTTATAAATAATTTGTGAAAATTAAAAATTCTAATAAAAAATCAATACAAAAATATGGTAAAAATACGGATTTATCTTTTCATACGGGATACAAAAATAAAATTTTAAGAAAAAGTATGTATTTTGTGAACAAACCCCGTTTTTCCTAACCGACACTGTTTTCCCAACAACACCGTTTTTGAACCAACACTGTATTTTCTAAAGTTGAATTTGTGAACATACCGCTAAACGGTAGTAAATGTGTCCTGGACAGACACCTGATATGGTATCGATAAGTAAAAAATATAAATTATAGAAAATGGAAATTCTGTTAAGAAATTAATAATTATAAAATAAGAATTAAAACATAAAAATAAGAAACCATCACTGGTAATAAATACAGTGCAGAACCCGTTATCTGGAAATCAGAAAACCAAAAAACCGGAACGAAATTCGATTAATTTTCCCGCCATTTAAAAAAAATAAAATTTTTTTTCCTCAAAAGATTTTAGGATTTTTCTTTCTTTTTTGAAAGATGTTTACCTTACCATCATTTTGGAAATAATCATTAGTGTATTACTTCATTGTTTTTTCTTCTTTTTTAAGATTATTTCCCAAATTTTTTTTTTTAGTTGGGTTTAACAATAAAAAACGGCTTTTTGTAGCGCTTCAGAAAACCGGAAAAATCAGTTATCCGGAATAGCGATGGTCCCGATCATTCCGGATAATCGGTTCCCTACTGTATGTGAATTTTTATAAAATTTTACTAACAATCAACCATGATATGAAAATATTCAAAGCATAACAGAAAAACAATTTCTTTCATGGATAACTTGCTTAAATTTAAGTATAAGTTCATTTATGCGTCTATTAGTTACCCAGTTTTATATAGATTACTGATTTCTTAGTGATCACTCCAGATAATACATAAATAAAAATAACTATTTTAAAGCTTAGATGTCTTTAAAATCTTTCCTGTACTTAAGCTATTTATTCTCATTTATGTATATATATTTTTAAACAATAAGTACTTCAAAAATTGAAAATCACTATTTTTACAATTGGTTTATTTGCTTAATTTGTGCTTTTATAATTAACAAAACTTGTACCTGAGAAATCTTTAAAAAGAAATTTTATAAAACACTCAATAAGATATCGGAAACAAGCTAGAGTGGGATCGGTATAACAACAATGCAAGCGTTCTTACGTCTGATGCAGGAAATGTTCTTGAATCTTTACATTTGAAACTTAATAGCATGTTTTAAAAGTTGTCATTGTGTTATATTTTTTGAAATATTCTCAAATAAATCTTAACTTTACTTATCCTTAAATTTTTTCCTAAACCTAATTCAAAGGATTGTTTCTAAGAAAAACCTTTATACTTAAAGAAAAGGTGATAAGAGAAAATGTAAAGTTACTTGTAAATAACAAAAATAGTTTGTGAAAGGCGTAAATTGAATCAGAGTTATTCATAACTATCTCATTGTTTATAATGCTTTGATATTTCAGGATCATCATATGTTCCGACATTATTACTAGTTTACAAATTGACCCCAATTTCCGTATCATTTTGGAAGTTTGAAACATCTAAAACAATAGAATATTAAAACATAACATAAAAAAACCCCCAAAGTTGTATACAAAAAAAATGAGACAAAAACTTTATGGTTAAAGTTTAACAATCTTATAGTAAAGTAAGTAGATACAATTTTGTATAAATTTATGGCTGGTTTTTGGTTCTAAATTTAATGGAGAAATATACTGCGCTACTTTTAGCAAAGTAATTGTTCAATAACTTTGGAAAGAAAAATATTATCAAAAAGTAATATTAAGAAATATAAAATTACTGTAGTTTTGATTATGCTGTATCTGAAGCTGTGTCTGTTTAAAATAATCCAGGAAACATATTATACAATAAATATTGTTTACAAAGACAAACTTTACAAAACTCTTAAAAAGCATGTCTGAGGCAAGTGACAATTATCGTAATAAAATACATCAAGTAAAACAGAAGTTTTGGAAATGAGAAACATTGAGAAATCAAACGGAATTAGGGGATATATCCTCAAACTTTATTTTTTCAGAAAAAAAAACTAACTATGAAATTTTTTACAGAAACTACCCATCAAAGTTTTGATGTAATTTCCATTAAGTCATTTTTGCACATAAAACTCACTTTAATAATTGCTTTGAATATACTTATGGCACCTCTGCAGCCATAAGCTGTATCATCTTCAGATTTATAATAAGCTAAAGTTCCATCTTTCAACACAATATAACGATCTTGCCAACCATGAATATAATTTGTCCACTTATTAAGGGTCCCGTGTAATTCAGGCTGTGCAAAATTGTTATCAATTTCATCTTCATCTTCACTTAAATTGACACTATGGTCATCAGTCATGGTTTGCATTTATCTAGAAGTTTTGTAATACGAGAATGAAAAAAATCAGTTTTTAAAATGTATTGCACAGAATATATGATGGAAAAACGTGATATCAGGCATGTTACATTGGCGCAGTAGCAATACAAACTTTTTCATGCTGTATTAGTCATTTTAATTCAATTTCATCTTATTTGAGAAATCACTACCTGAAACTGTAAACATTGGTGGCTTATTTCTGGCAAAACACACCCAATCACGTGAGACATAATTTTAATAAAGACAAAAAGTTGTAAAGTGACGTAATAAAGTGAACACATAAAATTTTATGTTATTATTAATTAAAAACATTCTAAATAAAACAATAGGTAATAATTTTTTGTGACTTAAAGTATCTCAAGTTATTAGCTTGAGATGAAATGTATAGTTAACTTTGTAAACTGAAAGAACGTAAAGTATATAAACGAACGAAAATTGAAAAAGAACTGATATGTAGTTGGATGTTTTTCGACTCTTTCCGGACAATGCGTTGAATATGATTCTTAAAGAATGATTTGTGGAATAGCGATCCTATGTTAATTGGTTCTTAAGTTAACCAAAAATAGGTAGTTGAAAACGTTTGGATTTAAATTTGAAAGGCGTGAATGAAGCGTATTGTCTTTCCGCCAAACATTTCTCAGTGATGAGTTCGAATTCCACCTTTTGTGTTGTCCTTTTCTAATTCGTGCTATTTGCTCTTAAATATAATGCGGGTTTACAAGACGTTTTTTGTAGTGAGCTCAAGTTCTAAATTCGAATAAATAAATTTCGAGAAGTCGCTTCCCCCTTCACCAATTTTTGAGTTCCAAAAACGTATCTAGGGGAAACAGTGCCTGGGCCAAATCTTGAATAGGCGCCTTTTCAAAAGAAATTATATTTCTATTTTTTAGAATGCAAAATAAACACATTATTTGAATAGTGTAATCATCTTGGCTGTATAGCATAATCTGTAACAATTCTAAATTTAATAATCTTGTATTTATGCGTACTTTAAATCATCGTTTATTCGAAATATAAAGTCATCACAAAATACTTAAGTCATATACTATTATATCAGATGAATCAAAAGTAAAGACAAGTTAACTGAATTAATGAAGCACAGTTAAATTTTAAAGTTTTTCAAACATGATATATTTAAAAAAATTTTGCACTGAGTTCTTTTTACGAAGGATAATAACACTATTTAGAAATAAATATCACTCATTATTAGAAATTAATCCAAAGAGAGCTGTTATTTGAAAAAATAATAATTTTTTGCTAACAGCAAAATAATAAAAGCTTATTCTGACTAATTCTAATCAAGTAAAATAAAATTCTCATAATATTATAAATTATTTAAAGAGCTCAATACAAATAATTGCGACCGATTATGACAATTACTAATAAAAGTACGACATATAAATATATGTATATATATATTATTTTTCTTTTAACTAACATTGGTTTATAAGTACATAGAAATTTAAATTTTGAAAGTAATTTTTCATTCTTGTTACTTTTAATTATCAATTTTTGTTCCACAACCAAAAGAGTAACTAGATAATTTTCTAATATTTTTAGTAACTGAATGAATATTTTACTATGCTAATGAGTTTATATTTATAAATATACTTGCTACCAAAACTTGGCTTCAATTTATTGAAATTATTAATCTTTTTTGTAAATAGATTTAATACAGTTGTTTTATTTTACTTTTCTACTTGGACTAGTATTGCCAATGTGATAAATCCTAAAATAGATAGAAAAAAAAAATTTTTTTTCGAATTGTTTTTATCAAATAATGTTTACACTTTTGGAATGTTTGAGAAAACAAAGAGTGAATTTTGTTGAAATTGTTATTTATATTTCATACCGATTAAAAGAAAATAATTACGCAGATAAAATTGTGATGAAATAAGATAATTATAATTCAACGTTGCTAAAAGTTATTACCTTTTTAAAATCCAGCATTTTCTTACATTATATGGTTTTATCAATACTTGTTTAAATACCTTACCAGATTACAACGAATTTATTTTGTTATCAACTTTGAATTATTACATCTATAAAGATATTAATTTTTGCACGTTTTTATATATACTTTAAACCTTTTTCCAGTTGAAAGCTAAAATTTGTTTAAAAAAATCTTAGTTGGCATAATTAATAAAACGGAGAAGCAGTAACTAATTGCTAATAGGATAAACCATGGCCTAGATAGCAAGCAATTTATTGAAAATGATTTTTTTCCCCGAATAATATAGATTTTCTTCTTCTTTTAAATGTATTCAATTCCTTGTACGAAAATTATTTAGTTAAACCAACTAAATTTCAACAATTCAATTTCTTTTTAGAAAGAAAAAACTTTAAGTTTTGAAAACGCTAAAATATTGTATTGTTATTAAGAATACACTTTTATGACAATGAAGGTGATGGGACCATTTGCATTTTTTGGGCAACATGTAAGATTATTCGACATACTTATCTGATTTGGATGACCGAAAAAAGGAAGAAAAAAATTCACAATACTTAAATCGCATCAATCATCGTATTTTCACGTCCTAAGAAGCAAATCTTAATTTTTCGAGTGTTTAACTTTAAATATGTTCAAATATTTGTGTAGACTATATTTTAAACATTCTTCTTAACCCAAACGAGGGAAGGGGTAGCCGCTATCTAGAAAATATTGTCCTAATAGTTAGGCAGAAGAGTGGTTGATAGTCTAGATTTTTTTAATGTTAATTTTGCTTTTTGCGTATTTCGCAATTACAGAGAAATATTACTTTTAAACTTTTAATTCTCAATTGCTATTTGAGTGATTCTCGTCAAATTTTGGATATTATTATTTAAAATTACGTAAATATCAAATGGTGCAACAATTTAAATATCTCACAATTAAGTTTTTTTTAACCATTAATAAATAAATTAAAAATAGCTGAATAAATTAAAAATAACTGAAAAAAAATTCTTTTGTTACATGGAGTTATCTTTGGATAAAAAATCTTTATAATTATGCACAGAAATTATTTATTCGCTTCTTTAATTCTGGAGATATTTCGAAATTGCGGATATTTTATTCTGGATTATATTGTTACTTTCTCTTTCTTTTTCCCTCCTTCTCCTAATTATTCAAATTTATGTTTGTCCGTGTGCTATTTGATATTAATAAAAATATTTGGCACTAAACTTTTCTTTATTTAAACCCCCCGAGCTCTAACCAGGGCCACACTATATATTTAAGGTTGTGAGATCACAACTATAGAGATTGAGTCACCAGAAGGCGAAAATTCGATAATTAAATCAAAAGTTATTAAAGGTGGTAGCTTTTTTTTTTTTTTTTTTTTTTTTTTTTTTTTTTTTTTTTTTNTTTTTTTGCTAACGACATTATGGCCAGCTATTGGTAATTATAGTAGTGCTGCAAATGTACTGCTTGTAGAACTATATAAGGAATGAGCCCTGTACCAGGATTTGTCAATCTGCTGAATATGTCTATCTGCAGCATTATCTTTATAAATCCAAATTTGTCTGTGAGCCTATCACATACCAGAAAAATTATTATTTTAAATATTAGACTTAATCTAACGTGTGAACAGCAAAATTAGCAGAAAAATGCAGATACAAATTATGCATAAAAAATGTTGTTAAAAATTTCTTATTTTTCTTAAAGTTTTCTTTAACACTTTTAAATGAGTGGAATAATTGAAATTAAAAAAAAGCGGTCTTCTATATTGTTCCAAAATTTCTTTAATTGAAGAACAATGTTTGGAATTTTTGATAATCGCAATTTTTTTTGTTGCTTATATATCTGCAGATTGACAAACAAATATTGTTAAGAACCTGAAACACTTAGTAATTGAGTAAGTTTAAATGTTGATAATGATTATTATAATTTTTTATTTTTTTTAGTTTCCCCTTTTAGTAACATTTAAGGCTTGCTTTTTCAATCTGAGATGAAAAATAGTCTGCAGCTGCTATAATAAATCTGCAGCAGCTGTAGGATGTCTGCTGCCAGGGGAATGAGAAAAATTACGATAGTTTAACGTAAAATATTTTTCAGCATGTATAATGTTGTACATTTTATTTCTAATGTATTTGATGAAATGTATTTTCAGAATTTTTTATTCAGTATTTCAGAATCATGATTCTTGCTGTTGTAGAAAATGCGATGATGCCGTATATGGAAATTGAGTCCCGGATAATCATTGTTATCAGTGAGGGTGCCGTTTTCGCTAATAACACAATAGGCAGAAGAAAAAAAATTTAATAACAGAGGATACATTTTTTATATAGTGAATGACATATAGATGTATTCAATTATTCAAATAAAATATTAAAGTGAGAAGTAGTATTATCAAGTTAATCCAGTCATAAAAATCAATAGCTATACATTTTGTTTCGCAGGCATTAGAAACGAACAGAATGAATTTCAGATGTATTAATCTAACACAATTACTACGTATTAATACTGGGCGATTCTTTCGTTACGTGTGTTACTTTTACACGACATATTTCAACTTTAACACTTATTATAATAAACTTGTTAGATATTTTTTATGTTTTTCGTAATTTGTTGTTAAATCTATATGTGTTGTAAGTTTACAAAACGAAGATTGAAGGCGCAAATTAAATTGATGTTGAAAAAAAAAATTTCTGAAATTTTGTTACGTGTGTTACCCTTTATAATGCTAGATATTTGAAACTTTGAATATATTCATTTAATTCTGTGAAGTATAAAGGCAAAAAATTAAGATATTTTCTTTTATAGAGAGATACAATATCGAAGCTGTGTNATTTGATGAAATGTATTTTCAGAATTTTTTATAACAGCTTTGAGCAGGATTCTTGCTGTTGTAGAAAATGCGATGATGCCGTATAGTCAAGTGTATATGGAAATTGAGTGCCGGATAATCATTGTTATCAGTGAGGGTGTCGTTTTCGCTTATAACACAATAGGCAGAAGAAAATTTAATAACAGAGGATACATTTTTCATATAGTGAATGACATATAGATGTATTCAATTATTCAAATAAAATATTAAAGGGAGAAGTAGTATTATCAAGTTAATCCAGTCATAAAAATCAATAGCCATACATTTTGTTTCGCAGGCATTAGAAACGAACAGAATAAATTTCAGATGTATTAATCTAACACAATTACTACGCATTAATACTGAGTGAGTTTCCTGACTTGGAGTTTTTGGAGCGCGCTCCATGATGTTCTAGTTCAGACGCAGCAGTTCAAAAACAAAAAAAAAAAATTTTTTTTTTGGTTTTTGACTTAAGAGAAGAGTGGAGATATTTCATCCTTCCCTTTTTATTATAAACGAACTGTGACGGGTGTCTTCATGTTCGAGAGGCAGATTATTGTTGATGATGTTGGTAGATGAAAGACAAATCTTAAAAAAATTTATAAATTGTTTTTTAAAATTTGATAGATGAACTAAGACAACAAATTCTTTTTCATTTCATATGAGATCATAGTTGAGATTCATTTAGCAATCATTTCCTATTCAACACCGTCTCAGACTTTCTCAGACTAAAATTTCACTGACCAATCTCGTTCCTCGTCAAGTCTCGTTCAGTTCTTCTAGCTTGAATAAAATTCTTTCGTCAGCCACCACAAACTGTTACAGACGCTTACAAAAACAATTTTGAAAAAAAAAAAAAAAAAAAAAGGGAAAAAATTTCAATACAAAACATTTTTCAATGCTACACCAACTGTATTTCTTATTCTAACTTGTTCATCAAGATAAAAATTCATATGAAATATACATTCAGAAATTGAGAATTTGATTGGTGCATTTTAAGCAGAACGTTCTAACCAGATTCAGTAAGAATGTTCCCTAAGCTTCTAAAATCCTGACCTGCAAGCTATGTCATCATGGGTGACGATCCTAATTGGCTGCTGAAACGTGGCATTTCTTCATGTAAGCAACTGTCTTTTCCATTCTATTTTGGGCAACAACGCAAATAATTATTTTTTCTCTGAACCTTAAACCGAAGGAGCTTCTCTAGGATTTCAAAACACAATTTTCCACCTCTTGAAAATTTTCTGACTAGAATTATATATGACCCATGAACTATAATACATAAGGATGATCCACTCTGATATCATCACGACGCGTTTCCTGAAGTTTCTCCTGATCCAACTGCCTAGAGCGCCCTCTAGCGACATTTAACGGAAACAGTAAATTGTTTTAGTAGATGTGAATAGGTGACACTTAACGGTGTATTATGCAGTGTTGCTGTCATATTTTTATTTACATTTGTCCGATTACATTTGTAGCATAAAATGTAGTAGCATTTTAAAGATGAGTTCTTATGCTTCGTTTCAATTAAAATTATTTAATTCATATTGGATTGAATGAAGTTATGTTAACATTTCGAAATTTTTATTTATTGTGCATTCATGTGGAAACATAAAATTTTCTAATCAACTCCAAATCTTTTATTTTGCATTTAGTCCGATAATATATAAAAAGTATTTCTGTTGTGGGGAATTGAATTTGACAATGTCAACCTTCATTTATCTGAAGGTACCTCAAGATATAATCGAGTTAACATGTCTTATATACTAGTGAATCGGTATTTAATAATTGTTGTGGTAGTTACGGTACAAAACTACTCCATCAGAATTTTATCAGGGTTATAATTCGATGAACGGATACCACTCTTTGATTCATTGACTTTTTTGTGAAATACCGGGAGAATTGTATTAAGTTTACCGGGTTTTGAGCATTAGCCGTGAGAGCTGTATTAAGTTCCTGATCGCTCTTGTGTTGCTATTAGCAATCGAGTACGTGCAATATCCAGTTGCGAGTAATTGAGACTGAGAAGCAACAGCGTGAGGAGGGCTATGACGCAGTCACAAATAATAAGTCAACTGTTCAATGTGGACCATCCATTGAAGTTTGCGTGATCATATCACTTGCGAAGGTTAACAATATGGGGAAATGAACTTGACAATGTCAGCCTCCATCTATCAAAAGTTACATCTAGATAGAATCGAGTTAATATGTTTTATATATAAGTGAATCAAAATTTAATAATAGTAGTGGTAGCTACGCCTCGCTGTTTTATTTACGGTTGCTTGTTCCAATCTTTCTTAAAGTAAATTATACTATAAACAGTGAAAATAAGATATATATATATATATATTAATAGCGCTTTTCGTAATTTATTTTTCAGTTTAAAAGGAGTACTGGTACATTCATATAAATATGTATTTTATTCAACATTGAATTAAATTTAATAATGAAAAGAATTTGCGAGATATCAACATATTTAATAAAAAATAGTAATTTGCTTTGCAAAATGTACTTTTGTCTTCTTAACAAATGACATTTTTAACGAAAAAAAAATCTAAGCATTTCATGAAACTAAAATAAAACATTTGACTGAATGATTATAAATAATTATATAAATTCAATTAAAATAAGAGAAGAAAACGATAAACTCATCAATCTGTCTGATAGTTAAGCTTTTTGCCGTAGCGTGGTGCTAAAACTGTTTGATCCAGACTGTTGCCATTTTGACAGACATCTTTTAAAAAGCACGTTGTCTTTTTATATGATCTAACTTCAGATTAGAAGCTCCTTATGCTGTGTATACTTTATATACTCTAGGATACGGGCTAACTGTAAATTAACTTTGCAAACATATGACTTGCTGGTGAGTGTAACGTTGAACGAGCGTTTGTCCAGCACTCACGATAATGATTACAGTGAAAGAATTTTGAAATGTCAGCACATACTTTTTCTTATCGAAACGTAATCCTTGCAGTAAAAGTAAAACTTAAAATGGAAGTTGAATGATATTTTAAAATGGACTGTGGTAATGTTAGGCAGAAGTAAAAGAGAGTAAGAGGAAATATATAAATCTCTGTACTTTCTTCTGGGCTGACTTTCTAAGGTATCAAAATTTATATAAATTCTCCTCAGTAAAGATATATTTATCATTTCCATTAATTTGTTGGGAAACTCGTTTGGGCGTCAAAAAAAGTCTCATTTTAAAAACTTGATAAACATGCTCGCATTTATGGCAAAGTAAAATATTGTGCGACTACCACATGAGTAATTAAATTAATTTAAAATATTTACCTTTTTGGAAAAGACTTAATGTAATAATTTTAATAAAAATATGCAGAACCCAAAAGACGCAACTAAATATTGAGTATAAAAAAATCCAACTAAATATTGAAAGTGAATTAAGAAAAATTCGTTTCAATGTATCATAAATTGGTAAAAATTTTAAAACGTAATTTAAAATGATTTCTTTTAAAATGCAATTTCTATCGCTGAGACAAGTTTCTGAACTAAACTGTTGGTAAAACAATTGTCTTATCGATTGTTTCGTGAAGAAACTTGTTTCTTAAGGCACTAAAATATTTTAAGAAATGTTGCTGCGCTATTTAGCATTATAAAGAAATTGTGTAGCATTTGGGTAATTATTTTTTTTTCATGGGGACCGATAAGACCAAGAACGATAAGTTCAGTGTCTGCTGTTATTTTTAACAGCAGACACTGAACTTATCGTTTTATCGAAGTAACTATCGAAGGCGCGCAACATTACCATTGCCACAGATACCCGTTCATAGGGTGGGCCACATTCACACAACACACAAAGAGAAACATTCATGCCCAGAGCGGTATTCGAACCCGCAGCCATTGGCTTCGCAGTCAGGCACGCTAACCGCTCGGCCACTTGGCCGGCCTTTAGCGTAAATAATGTAATCAATGATGAACAGTACACATAACAGAGATTATATATCCCATTGCGTATGATATTTATAAATGTTTAATAGTTTTTCCATGATTAACAGATTGGGCAATAAAAATCTCAATAAAAACATTAATTTTTTGGGACACTTGCAAAAATAACTCAAACAACTACAGATGATTTCCATTAAATACATGCAAAAATAAAGGTTTCAATAAATGCATTTTTTTCTCTCACAAAATTGCATTTTGATTTTTATTGCATTTCATAAAGCACTGTTATAGTAATTAATGAAAATTGTGGTTACAAACTAAAAACTTGCTTAGTATAAAAACATTTATATTTACAGCAAAGACTATATACACAATTATATTAAAAAAATACAATGGCGATGAGTAATGTAATTTTAATATTGCATCGTTACATTTTCATATTTATTTACAAACAATGATCAAAGAGAGAGTAGATATAGCGACTAGAAAGAGAAAGATAAAAAAAAAATATATAGCAGTTATTAAATTATATTGAACTAATAAATTTCTGGATATGTATTTTTATTCGTAAGTACTGTACATTTCAATTAGAGAAACTAGAAAAAATATTGTGTTTTACTTGGAATTGATTTTTAGTATATACAGAATGGTTATGAAACAGCATTATAAAAATTATTACTTTTTTGGATCAGGTTTTATTTCATTCATTCTAATGTAAGACATAATAAATTTCTGATGTTATTTTTAAATTTTTTTAATAAAGAAACTTCCTGTTTAACTTAATCTCATGCAAAAAAGTACATAATTCTGCATAAAGAGAAAAAAGTATAAATAATTTCGACTTATAAATGATACGTAAATAATAAACAGTGAATTGCACATTAAACAGTGTATGAAGAATGTATTTACAAAGCATATAACATTCATAATAAAAATATGCTGACTTATAAAAATTGAATAGAATAAAAATTCACGTTTCATTTTTGTGTTTGGTTGCAAGCGTGCAACCAAAAAATTGTAAGTGTTTAAAAATTCATGCACACAGACGGTAATAAAAAATCAGAAAATATAGAAAGAAACAATATATCCATTAGACTTTATTATTTTAAACATCTCATTAGTTAATTACTGCAAAAATTAATAAGTTGGCTACTAAGCTTTTTGAGGAAGCCTCTAATACAGCAGTTTACAAGAATGTCAAATATTTATCTATATATTGAGCAGTGATTCCCTAAGTATTCGATGGAAAGCAAATGCTAGGTAGCATCACGTCTGAAACAAAGGCGGAATGGAAACTAGTGCGTATTATAATTATAACAATTTAACATATCTAGTTTATTGTTTGTAAATGCGCTTTTATTGTGTTATTTTTTGCAAAATTGTACTCTTACAATATATATATATACGGCAACAACGCTTTAAAAATATCCCAAGATGTAAGAAATTAAAACGGAAGCCCGGTGACTGAGTGGTAGCGCTTCGCGCTCCTGTGCCGCAGGTCCTGGGTTCGATCCTCGGACCGGGCAAGGTTCACTCAGCCTTTCATCCCTTCAGTGGGTCGATAAATGAGTACCAAGCATGCTTGGGAACTAAACATTGGGGGTTCCGCGTTCGGCTGACCACCTAACCGAACATTTACTCCTACAGCCCAGAGCCCAAGGTCAAGAAAACTGAGATGGGCATAGTAGGCCTTGGCCCTCTATGAGCTGTCGTGCCACTGAGTTTATTAGTAGTAAGAAATTAACCATCAATCGAAAAAGTTTGGGAATCACTGTTTTATGTTTTAGAAAGAAACGATACTAACTATAAAAGGACCTCAAAAGCTGATAAAACATTTTATGGCTTTTGAAAAGAAGTTAGTGAGATAACGGTGAGTTGAAGTGTAATATTTAATCTTGGAAAAAATTATAAAAGTTATTATAATTATTAGTTAAAATTATAAATGTTGGTCAGCTACACATTACTCTGACAAAAAATAGTGAAAAAGTAAAAGGCTAGATTTGACAGGAAAAATTTGACTTGAAAATAATAAATACATATGAAGAAAAAAAAATGACAATGCTTTGTAAAATTGCCTAAAGCTTATACAAGTGTTGACAATTCTGTTGCCCTTTGAGTAGTTACATCCAATCCAAGTTGACTCAAACGACTTTGATGAAGATCTTTGCAGGCTCTGGTTTTTTCCCATTGCCACAGGTACACATTGTGCACACTTGCAACACCGCAAAATACAATTCCAAGTCCTATTACAATACTTGTTGCCATGGCGGGTATTTCGTTGAAATGAATAAAAGTAAACAAGATGACCCCTGAAATAAACAAAATTGTGTGAAATGAAAATGAAATTATATAGGGTGTTTAATAAAGAATGAACTACAGGAGAGAAAAAACAATCTATATTCTTTTTCAGGGTGCGTAGCCAAATCTTTCAACAAAAAATAAGCAACTTTTATGCACTAAAAAATATTTTTAAGCATTATACAGGGTGCCTCAGTTAAGCGTTTCAGAACTTCTAAGAAGGGTAGGGGGCATCCTGACGACTGAAAACCATATAGCAATGTGGGGTCGGAAATGCTTTCCTGAAGCGGTGACGTACACAGAAGCACCATAAAGAAAAGAGACCGTCAGTGAAAAATCGCTATAACAATACATTGAAAAAATTATATGGTACATGGGCCAAAGTAAGTGTTCGAAGTTTCTGCCATCGGCTACAATGTACACCTCATATCTCCGGCGCATGGACATTCGAACATTCTGCAATACTCCAGGCATATCTCACCGGCAGCTACTGCGATTCTTGCAACCAGCATTATCAGCAGGGGTGTCATAAACCAGTGTTTTCATATGACTCCAGAAATCAAGACATGATAGGTCGGGTGACCGAGGAGGCCATATAATTTTTTCAATGTATTATAGCGTTTTTTCACTTACGGTCTCTTTTCTTTGTGGTGCTTCTGTGTACGTCACCGCTTCAGGAAAGCATTTCCGACCCCACATTGCTATATAATTTCGAGTCGTCAGGATGCCCCCTACCCCTCGTAGAAGTTCTGAAACGCTTAACTGAGGCACCCTGTATACATTTACAAAATGCAAAATAATTTTCAAAGACTTTACATGATCATGATAAAATAACTAGTATCTGACAAGGAACTCTTTACTTGATTATATTAGTCATTATAAAATGATCAAGAGATTTTTCAGTTCGATATCAGAGGCTGGAAAATGAAGCTTGAAATTGAGTATATCTTGCAAAATGCAGCAGCGTTGCACATGAGAGTGCAATAATCTCACCGAACCCAGCTCAGTAGAAACACATGCGGAGCGCAAGTATTTCATCAACCATGTAAAATAATTGGCGCTTTCATACGCTATGGACCAACGGTACGCCAAAATAGATTGTAGTTGATTGAATTGGGAAAACGTTGAATAGAACAATGTGATGGTAAAAAAAAGTTCTGATTTTCGAAAAGGGAAAATTGAGCACTTTTTAAAAACACCCAATGAAAAAAGCACCTTTAAGGGCTTTTAAAAAACGAAAATCAAAAATAAGCACCTTTAAGCACTTTTTAAAAACACTACGCACCATGTTTATAAGCTGAATAGACGTCTCAAGGTTACATGATTTGCCTCCTCTCCCCGTTACCATGTTATCCGCAGTTCTTGCTTTTTCCTTACGCCAGTGTATTCTCACTTTTTACTGAAGCGTAGTGCCTTGGGGGAAAAGCAAGGTTTTCCATAACCATGGTAACAGAGGGGGAAAGTGTGGAAACCTGGAAAATCGTGTAAAATGAAAAATGTGGACCTCTCATTCTGCGTTTCGGAGGCTAATTAAAAATTCTATAGAGAAGTGAGAGTTAACGTATTTATCGTTCAAACACTCTGTAAACTTTGGAAGATTTGAAAAAGTTGTTGTTATAAGCCGAAACACATAATTAAGTAGAAAATTGAAAAATAATATTTTTAATGTTGAAAAGTAACCAATTAAAATCTGCTTGACTTTTAAAGTATTTTTACTTATTGTCTTTAACAATAGGAAATATTCTGTAATGAATGAATATTTTTATTACACATTTTAACACTTACTTTTGATATACCTTTCTTTAATTAACGAATAATGAGCTTAAACTGAACAAATGACTACACCGGTTGTTTTGGTCCTATCTATATTATCAGGGTTCCCACGGTTTTAGAAAAAAAAAATCACGGTTTTAGAAAAGAAAAAAAGAGGAACCAAAAATTGGGTCAGCTGTTCAATGACGGTTGTAAAAAAATATATATATGTAAACTGTTTATAAGTTATGGATCTTAAAATCAATGTAAATCAATTATATAATATGAAAAATCAAATGATGAAGTATTACATATGCTAGCACTTCTTATATTCAAGAAAAATCTCACGTCAAACCGAGTGAAGTTGGCAATTATGTGCAAATTAAGCTTTATCATTATTTAAAATAAACCTTCTTATAATTTGAGGACACTATTTTTAGACTGAAAATAGTTCAATTTTGATTTTACTCGCTTTTTACCACGCTTATATCAACTTGCCTTCGTGTATGTCTGTTCGGGTGGAATTTTGTAATAGATTTTAAACTGACTTCCCGACTAGCTACAGACTTCAAATTTGGCACATAGTTAATTGGATGACAATGCATGAAAATAAAGAGAAAAAAGGCATACAAAGTAAAATAAAATTAAAATTAAAGAAAAATTAATATTTTCGCGATTGTCTTNAATAACATATAGTAATCATGAAGAATAATTTAGCTTTTTTAAATGCCAGACATTTCTAAGTTACTATAAAATGTTGAAATTTATAAAAAAAAAAAAATAAAAAAAAAAAATGAAAATTATATTTTTAAAAACCACGTTTTTGTAGTGGAGAATAATTAAAAGACAAAAATTTGAAAAACGTGTGGAGCATGAAACACATAACAGTACATATACACATTTTCTTACTTATACACAACCGCATACACATTCACATGCATGCACACAAACATATTCCACATCCACATTCAGATACAATTACAGATATACATACACATATTCTCAGTAGCACACATACTGTTACTGTTATGTATTTCATGCTCCCCACGTTTTTCAAATTTTTGTTTCTTAATTATTATTCTCCACTACAAAAACGTGGTTTTTAAAAACATTATTTTCATTTTGATTTTTATAAGTAACAATGGATCAAATGGTTGGCTTTATGATTTGTCCCCACTTACTTCATATCACTGTGCTAGTGTAGACAAAAACCTCTACTTTTTTTAAAATAAAGATTATTTAAAAAGTATTCATCAAAATAAACTAATGTATTATTCAAAATTAATAGAAACGTTCAAATTTCATTAAAAAAAATACTAGATTTGTTAAAACTAATCCGTTTTGGCAAATTTATAAAAAATGCCAAACTAACCCCTCTCAGCTCTGATAAAAAAAAAAAGAAGAAAAAAAGAGTCTTTCAGAAATACCTACCAGTGAAAAAAAGAGGTATAGATAGAAAAAATCCACCAATGGCTAGAATTCGGGTGTGGGCACTTCTCTTCAAGAACTTGTTTGTCCTGAAAGAGACATAGAAAAAGTTATAACTTTAAGAATATAATAAAGTTAATGCATTCACTGTATTAAAAGTATATTAAGTTCAGAATAAAATGCATTAATCGGTCACAGTTTTTCTGTTTAAGTTTAGGCTGGTTGTGTATTGTTCCTGTAATAAGTAAGAACTTTAATAAGATCATTTAAAAATGTATTCAGGGAATCTACCGTTATGAAAGAAAAAAAATTATGATGACGTAAAAATACAAAAAAAAGATGATACAAAGTGTCTCCCAAAATGATTGAAGATTTGAAAAATGAGTTGAAAGAAAACGAAAAGCGATAGAAATATTCGGATTGCTGCGGCGTTCTTCGAAAACCAGCTAATTTACTCTATTGAAGTTAACCGAGAAAACTTATAAACAATGTTTTCAAAATAACAATAGTTGCAGCAATAATGTGTTGCAATCTGGGGACGAAATCAACTGACACCTTGCAAATATTTCCTTTGGAATGGTCTGTTGTTGTTTAATAGTCTTCCAGTTATAAGTAACATCTACATATTTGTAACATTAGCACATTTGAGATCACCCCATCGAACCAGTCCTAGAACGTGAAGATCCGATCATTGGATCAAAAGTTATTCAGGTGTCCGTTTTTTTTGGCGCACTGTAGATCAACCGAAACAAAAGTTCACTCTTAGAATATGTTCGCATGTTTTTAGTAGTGTTATAAGGATAATTACATTTTAATTTTTAAATAACTGCGAACCGTATTCAATGACTTCACAGCAACGTTCAATTTCTATCCGGTTCTGGTCTGTTAAGCCTAGATCGAATTCGTCAAGATTCTTACTTCATATTAGATTTTATAACCGTCGTTGAACAGCCGACCCAATTTAGGGTTTACGACTATTAATGTTCAACTCCGTATCCTCGTAACTTTGAACCAATCCGGAAGACAAGGAAACTCCTAGATCAGTATATATGATTTGTTATGGGAACATGGAGGACTTTGCGACTAGACAGATTTAGCGTGCATCAGTCACCATTTACTACACTGTGAGTCTTCGGCCGGCGGGGATCGAACCCACGAACTCTTGGACATGGGCCCAGAGCCCTGCCGACCAGGCTATTTCATATTAGATTGTAAAAATAACTTTAATGACTTTTATGTAAGCCGTGATGGCTCAGGGGATAGAGCGTTCGCCTTCCAATAAGGCGAACCGGGTTTGAATCCCAGTCGATACGAATTCCGCATCTGGCTTGCACCGACCACAGTGCTGACGCGAAATATCCTCAGTGGTAGACGGATCATGGGTTAGAGTCTCCTTGCAGTCAGGCTNCCCAAGATCAGATGTGACAACTGCTGTCACAGCCCCCCGGAAAAGGTTAAGAAGTCTTCCACGAAGTCAAATTTCTCCCAATACTCGATCTAGGAGATTCCTTGTCTTCTGGATTGGGTTCAAAATTACAAGGCTACGGAGTTGAACATTAGTAGTCGCAAACCCATAAAATTGGGTCGGCTGTTCAACGACGGTTATAAAATAAAATTAAAAAAATGACTTTTATGTGTATTTCACTTTACAGTAATTATATACTTTAGTGTTACAGAATAACAAAAATTGTGGCGGCTACTTCATACCGAGTACCCATGGCTGGGTGGCGCAGTTGGTTTGTCGTCGGCCTTCTGAACCCAAGTCTGCGGGTTCGATCCCCGGCTCAGACACCGGATTTTCGGGTTGCAGAAAATCCTCAGCGGCCATGTCGTATGATTATGCGGCATGTAAAAGATCCCTGGAATGCCTTATTGGTTCTTGGCATTTCCGGCAAAATTAAATTCCTAGTGCACTTTAGCATCGAAATAGAGTCTCGCTGCTGCCATCTAGTGTGGCAGAAACTAGACGTCCAAATTAACATGACCAACGGTATCTCACCCATTTTGGTGGTTCTGAAAAAAGTGGATGCCACCTCTGGAGAACGCACTAGGTCTGCTCATCGGCAAGACCGATTGTGCAGCTCATTGGAAATAAAATAAAAAATAACTTCATACCGAGTAGCGTAAAAGAAGATTCTTGGTTCACCTAAATCCAAGAGTTACGTATGGACATGACACTACTTGGGTGTGAAGTATGTTGTCACCATATTTGGATTTGAGATGCACCAAAACATTTCGCAGTGTAGTATGGATTGGTATAGATTTATTGACTATAAATTGTACTCAGTAGGAAGATGAAGTGTTAAGCAAGTATAAAACTTATAAATTTTTGATAGTTTCTATTTTATATCAAACCATTTGTTTCCTATTCACATTTTGTTTTAACATCACATTTCTGTTCACATTTTGTTTTTGTAAAAGAGGCACAGTTACGAAATTAATAATTCACCTGTATTTACTCCATTCTGAGATTCCATTTAGATAGAGTAGATAGATAAATGTTTGATATTTTCTATTCAAATCGAATCATTTTATTCTATTGCTCTTTTTATAATAAATAATAAAAAGTCTCAATACAAAATTTTACTATAACAAAATTATCAGTACAAAATGAACAATTCACTTGTTGCTCACACAATTTGCTCCACATGGAGAATGAGTATTTAGCAAGCGTATAATGAAAAAATATTTGATATTTTTTATTTTGTATCAAATCATTTAATTCTAATTCGCTTTTTTTAATGCATGTGTGCCTTTCGTTTAAAAATTCACTTTTTATAATAATTAAAAAAGAAATCAGATTACAAAAACTTTACAAGAAAATTACGAGTACAAAATTAACAATTCACCTGTATTTACCCTATACGAAAAATAAGTACTGAACTAGTTCATATAATATATACAAATGCTTCATATTTTATATTTTGCATCAAACAATTTTATTCCATTGTGCTTTTTATAATAAATGTTTGCTTTTTGTATGAAAATTAGCGCATTATAATAAATAAAAAAGAAACTTAGCATGAAATTTCACAAAATTGAAAATTCACTTGTATTAACTGTGTACGAAAAATTAGCATTTAGCTAGTAAATAATATATACATGTCTGATTTTTTTTGTATTAAACTATTTAATTTTAATTAGCTTTTTCTAACGGATTACCTTTTGTATAAAAATTAGTATTTTATAATAAATAAAAAAGAAAAATCAGTGCAAAATATTACAAAAAAAAAAAAAAAAAATCACATGTACAAAACAATTTACTGGTTTTTATCTCGTACGAGGACGGAGTATTTAGGTAGTACATATGCATATTTATAAATTTTTGATATTTTCAATTTTTGCGTCAAAACCATTTTATTCCAATTTGCTTTTTATAATAAAATTTTGTCTTTTGTATGAAAATTCGCGTTTAATAACAAAGATAAATAAAAAAGAAAATTAGTAAAATATTTTTCAAGCTCAATTATTAAGTCGATATTTTTTTTAATTTACATCATAATAAAAAAAGAGAAATAGAAAGAATGAATTAAATCACGTCATAGTAAAATATGAATCAAGTCACAGTAAAATATTTGTTTCTTCTTCAGAAAGAAAGAAGATAAAAAATAAATCGAAATGCATCTTTTTATTTCAAAATTAATTTATCAACTTCTGCTACAGATAGCAAAAACCATCTACATTTTGAAGGTATCCGATTATATTGACAAAAGCTTTTTTGACCTACATAGGTATCAAAACATGAACGATGTATTGTATAGATGATGTTTGCTCTGAGATGGAGGACATCACCTGTATTTGGAAATAGAAAGGATGATTTTTTTTCGTCTTCTTTTAACGCGTATTATTTTATGATGATCTCCTTCCCTTTTGTTTTGTCAGGTGAGCAAAAATAACTGAACCACACCCATAAGGGAACGTCAAAAAAACATCCATCCAAGATGACGACGAAATATTAAAATTTATCTTATGTTAATAAACATAGTAAAATCCTAAAATTCAGGAGATATGTCTTTAGTTATTTAGTATTTATGCAAAAATATACTCTTATTTCAGTGGTATTTAAAATAGACTTCATCTGAATGGCTGATTCCCTTTGGTCTTTTCAGGACAACAAATTACATAATAAGGATTAATTTTTACTAAAATAAATCACAATATCAAAATGTTCAGAGCGCATAGTAAAAAAACGGAACACATAAATAATTTTTGATCTAATGATCAGATTTTCACGTAATAAAATTTTAACTTCGTCGCTCGAAGATAGTCAAAGAGATTCATTAAAAATGTTTGCTATAAAACGAAATCGATGTAGTTGTTAAAAGTTGTTAATTACTTTGTATGTAAGCTAAAAGCTAACTTTTGATTTCTTTTAAAACTGTCGAGTTGCTATGGCAACGTTTTTCTTTTTCTTTTTGTGGAACAAGAAATGATCGTCTGAAAATTATTATGTAAATAAAATGTTGTTCTTTTTTACTAAAAGTTGGAGTCAGATTTATTATTTAGAGAAGAAGTAGAGAACGACAAAATATTTTACTTTCTGATAGAGTCTCGTAACAGTAGTATCAAACTTCAGATATCAGCACCATTGTATCAAAATATTGAATCAGTTCGAAAAACCAACTGGATTGGTCGAGATTAATCCACAAATGAATCGATGGAGGGGTCCGGTTACTTTGAACATACGTCTAAATAACTTCTCAAAATTTAGTGTATGCTCTTAGCTGATTCAGGTGGAGCTGTTATTGGGCTCATTTTGCAAATCGATTAATGATGTAAGCATAGCAAATATAAAGTGTTATATGCGGCAATCGTTTTAAGGTTTAATTTATTAGCAAATTTAGTCATCTAATTAAATCATCATAAAATCATAATATTTTCATCAAAATCAGACAAATTCGACTTCAAAAAAATATGAATAACTTTCTTAACAGATAGATTCCAGTCAAAGTTATTCGAATAAATTAATTCTAGTTCTCAAGATTGAATAAACTATGATTGAGCAACATATTTTGATTTTAACGTATTTAATAAAATTTGTGTTCGAATCTGATTATTGATAAGAATAAATTGACTACAAATTTTGTAT